TTTTCACCCTTACAAACGTTGCGGCATCCCCATGGTCATGTGATCAAAATTTGGATGCTTGGCAACTGGTTCATATTTATGACAGTTGCAGTGTCCTGGGATGATGTGATCACCTTTTGTGACCTTCTAACAAGAAAAGTCAATGGAAAAACCAGATTCACTTAACAACAACTGTATTACTAGCTTAGAAGATGCAGTGATTCACTTAACAACCGTGGTAAGAAAGGTCGTAAAATGGAGCAAAATTCACTGAACAATTGTCTCACTTAGCAACATAAATTCTGGGCTCAATTTGTGGTCTTAAACCGAGGACTATCTGTATAAAGGAGTGTCAGTACCCAAATGGTTCAAGAAGAGTTACTATATAGGTGTTATTTTTACCCAATCCATCATAAAACATTATTACATGAGGGATTCTGATAAATGTAATAATCCACAATAAAACAGAATTTCATGATTATTTCTGCCGTTATTCAATCTCAACATATGCCCTTTCACTCAATAAGACGACAGTCTGACTGTTCTGCTTTATTTCAAACCACACATTCAGCGAGAATGAAAGATAATTGACTGAAGATCTTACAAGCAACGTTTGTGCTATGGAACGATTGCATTGTCTTAACAGTATGGAACAAAGCTGCAGGGAATTGTCCCACGAGGCATTTGAGAACAAATGAGAATGATCACACTGTTTAATAGTTCATTAACACAAAGCAAGTAAATACTGGTAGGTACAATGAGAGAACTCAAATTCTGCTCCAGCATTGCAAATTGTCTAGTCCCACTGCAGTCTTCCAAAAAGAGATAAGTACCGTATGTTTGCCAAATTTTTAAAAAAGAATTCTTTATGATGATTGTTGAAAGGTACAAATATTTTTTTGGGTTAAGTATCTACACTGTGTGCACAATTATTAGGCAAGTGAATATTTTGACCATATCATCATTTTTATGCATATTTTCCACCTCCGAGCTGTATACACTTGAATGCTTAGTGGATATAAGCCTATCAGGTGATGCGTATTTGTATAATGAGGGAGGGTGTGGCCTAAGGACATCAACACCCTATATCAGTGATGACAAACCTTTTTGGCAACAAGTGCCAAAAACGTCACACAGAAACATCGCACGCACATGCTCATTGGAGCCGTGCTCCAGAAAAGCTGAACTTCTGGGTTCTAGCGCACATGCATGCCCGACGATCAGCTGGCTGGTGCACATGTGCAGGCCAGTTTTCGGCACTGCCAAGTGCACGAAGGGATCATGCTCCGCAAAAACTGAACCTCTGGGTTCTGGCACGCATGCGCACCCGACAATCAGCTGGCCAGTGTGCATGTGCACACTGGTTTTCAGCACTGCTGCGAGTGCGAAGGACAGCTGATTGTCAACACACGCAAGTACACCAGAAACTCGGAAAACAAACAGGCAAGGCCATGCATGCCAAGTGACATGGCTTTGCATGCCACTTTGGGCACGCATGTCATAGGTTCACCATCACAGCTCTATATCAAGGGGTGCATAGTTATTAGGCAGCTTCCTTTCCTCAGGCCAAAAAAGAGATTTAACTGACTCTGAAAAGTCAAAAATTATAAAAAGTACTTCAGAGGGATGCAGTATTCTTGAAATTGCTAAGATATTGGGCTGTGATCACAGAACCATTAAACGTTTTGTTGCAAATAGTCAACAGGATCGTAAGAAATGAGTTAAGGAAAAAAGATGCTCATTAACTGCCAAAGATTTGAGAAGACTCAAATGTGAAGCTACCAGGAACCCATTATCCTCTAGTGCTGTCATATTTCAGAACTGCAACCTACCTGGAGTGCCCAGAAGTACAAGGTGTTCAGTAGTCAGAGACATGGCCAAGGTAAGGAAGGCTGAAACCCCACCACCACTGAATAAGACACATAAGTTGAAACAGCAAGACTGGGTCAAGAAATATCTGAAAACAGATTTTTCAAAGGTTTTATGGACTGATGAGCAAATGGATGGGCCCGTGGCTGGATCAGCAATGGGCACAGAACTCCACTTCGACTCAGATGCTAGCAAGGTGGAGGTGGGGCACCAAGGATCAGGAAAAATAATTATGGTACATAGCTGACTGGGTTGTTTTTGTTTTTTTTTTAGAAATTTGAGTTCCATTCACAAATGAATAATGAAGATGATGATGAATTTACAAGCCTCCCTGTTCACGAGTGACTATGAACTTTTCCACTGAAACTCAGTGTTATATATAGACTAGGTTACTATAGCTTATTTAAATCATCATGACCAAAGTACTGGTTTGACGTGATCTGAAAATGTTAAACAAAGTGAAATTCAATAAAGACAGCTAGAAAGGCTGGGAATATAACATTAGGAGTCCACATAGAGAAGACAACGTACACTCCCTCCCCAGTGGTGGGTTTTTACCGGTTCACCCTGGTTCGGGAGAACCGGTAGTGGCAGCGGCAGGCTGCGCCACCCGCCCGGATGTCATCACAGACGCAGAACTTTCATGGATATACAGTATTTCACAAAGCACAAAATGCACTAAACATGATGGAAAATTAGGATTTATTTTCTATTGTGCTTGTATTTTAATAGTCCTAATCCAATAGCTAGTTTCTCAAAAATTAAAGAAGCTTTTCAACATCAACAGGATATTTATCTTTCTTCTTTTAAGTTTTTAAGATTTTAAAATACAGCAAACCCCTAAATGAGAGATCAAAAATCTAACTGCTAGTGTTTTATACAACACATCTTGAAGGAAGCTTACATTTTACTGAGCCCTTTGAAAGATTATTAGAAGACTGCCATCCACTGTCTCATTCAAGTATTGCAACTAAGGTACAAAATTGCCTCATCTGTTGTAAAATTGCTTCCAGTGCAACATGAAAACTGCTTCCAGGTTTACAAAATGCTAACCCTTCAAATGCCAAACCCTTTTCATAAGGGAGAACACAATGCAAAGAACAGTGAAACAGAGTATTTTGAGAAAGGATTTACATTAGAATTCAACACCTGCATTTTTGACAACTGAAAATTCTATAGGGACATGTCAAGAAAAAAATTATAATATTGAAATTTTAAAAGTGCCTGCTGATGGATTAGATTCAATGGGTTAACTTGCTGCAATAGGAAAAAATATCCCCAAATATGAGGATCCACCTTAATGAACAGCATTACAAGCTTATCTTATTTATTTGTTCACTTAGCAAATACATCTTCAATTGCAGACATGTACAAGAGAAAACAGCACACATCCAATATTTACAATGAAATTTAATATTAAGTGAAAAATAAGGAAGCCACTGATGCCAAAATACAAAACACAGCACTCTGCTATTGCCCCTAAGGCATCGTAACATCACAAATGTCTATCTACCTATCTAGAACAAGTATTTAAAAGTTGGATTTAAAAATCTACAGGATTTAAGCTGCAGAAAACGGAGGTAATGAACAATGTCTTGTGATGAATCCAGGGCTGGATTTTCCTATACGCTAACTAGGCTTCAGCCTAGGGCCTCAAGATCAAGAGGGGCCTACATTCAAATTGTTAGCAAAATTAAAATTACACTTTCACTATAGGTGAAAGGGTCTCATAAGTGGAATAGCCTAGGGCCTCTTTTCATCTAAATCCGGCCCTGGATGAATCTACCCTAAACACCAAATAGCTCTATGAACTAGCTGGTTAACCAACATCATGATATACAATAATATTACTTATTTATTTAAGAGACTTACATGGCCAGTAATCTTATGTATTATAAGTCTGGGTAGCTCACAGCAATAGCAGTAAGAACATAAAGAAACAGTAAAGATAAACAAGTCCAATTCAAAGCATCCTAAAACAGCCAACATTAAAAAAAAAACCAAATCATTATCTCACCCTATCCCAATGTCTGGATAGACTGTAATCCTCCTTATAAAGCAAAAGTACAAATGCTAAAGAGCAGCAATATAAGTTTATATTTTTATTGATACCAAAAATTAAGTTCTGTATTTATTGCCTCTTTCACTCTCTCTCTCTCCCACTTCCTCTGTGGTATTTGAGATAATCTACCTGCGTCTTCATAACTATAGTTCCCTGTCATCCTTCAAATTATTTGGCTGTTTTCAAGTATGACAAAGGATGATGTCCAATCATTTTTTGTTAGAAAAAAGATCTTTTCTGAACCCTTTGGCATGCAAAACTTTAAGACAGAAGAAAAAGTGACTCTAACACATTTAAGAAATTGATGTATACAAACCACTTCAACACCACCTTTCAATAAAAACCCATAGCATAGCTTATAATAATAATGCAACTCCAAATGAGTAAAATAGCAAAAAGAGGATTAAAACAAACATAGTAGAAGGCCTCCAGTGATGATCGCAGAACTCTAATGGCAGTATTTCCTTCAAATTGATTATTTCTGTATAAGGGTATTCAATGTAAGCACACAGTGCCCAAAATTACAATCTGCAGCCACTATTTTGAAATCTCTCAGCTGCAAATCCTAGCAGCTAACTCCCTAATTAGTAGAAGAAAGCAAGACATATACAAAAGCTTCAACATTTCATTTGCTAAGGATCTTTCTTGTTTTTCAACTTTCAATTTGAAACAAGCAAGGCTTAGCTCATTGTAAAACAAAACATCCTCAGAATATTGTGAAACAATTAAACACTCATCAAGCTTCCAGATCCTACCACTTGAGTGAATTAAGTATTTTATGTGATGCAAGTGGCACACCTTTGGACTACAAATATTCTCACATTTTTGATGTGTCAGATACAGGTCAGAAGAAAGTGACTTTTTTAAAGGAAAAAAAAACAACCCTGCACATTAAATGAGTCATAAAAAGGGGGACTTTTTTGATGGACACTCAAGGTGATATTGTGCTTAGAAGTCTGGATTAGACTGGAGAAGACTCAAATTCAAATTTTCATTTGGCCATGCTGCTCAAAGGAAATCATCTCTCACCCAAACTATCTCTGAGGATTATATGAAGGCAACGTCTTTGTGAGCAAGCAGGCAGACTTACTGGTTGCTATATCCCCTTGAAGTTGAAGAATCTGTGGGACAGGCATCGTGAGAATAACTGTATCAAAGCAGTCAGAAGAGCCTGTACTGGTGCCTACTTCCCATTTTCCATCTTTGAGGCAGATCTGAGTAACATGGTGATTATAGAAGACATCTGCGTCTGCTGAGAAAGAAAGAGAGAAGCTAATAGATACCACAATCCCTTTGGAGTTAGGTGACTAATAAATTTAAATTAAATAACTAAATAAAAAAAATTAAATGAATAAAATCAGCGATGTAGGAGAAAAAGAACAAAAGTCTGGGAGCTGAAACAATAATACAGGTAGTCCTCAATTTACAACCACAATTGAGCCCAAAATTTATGTTGTTAAGTGAGAAATTTGTTAACTGAGTTTTGCCCCATTTTGCGACCTTTCTTGCCACAGTTGTTAAGGGAATCATGGCAGTTGTTAAGTTAGATTCACAGTTGATAAGTGAATCTGGTTTCCCCATTGACTTTGCTTGTCAGAAGGTTGCAAAAGGGGATCACATGACTCATAAATGTGAGTCAGTTGTCAAGCATCCAAATCAGTGGTGAAATCCAATTTTTTTTTATTACCGGTTTTGTGGGGGTGGCAGGGAAAGGATACTGCAAAATCTCCATTCCCACCCCACTCTAGGGGAAGGATATTGCAAAATCGCCATTTCCACCTCACTCTGGGGCCAGCCAGAGGAGGTATTTGCCAGTTCTCTGGACTACTCAAAATTTCCGCTACCGGTTCTCTGAACTACTCAAAATTTCCACTACTGGTTCTCCAGAACCTGTCAGAACCTGCTGGATTTCACCCGATCCAAATGTAAATCACATGACCATGGGGGATGCTGCAACGATCATAAGTGTGAATAATGATTATAAATCACTTTTTTCAGTGACTAAATGAACTGTTGCCAGTCAAGGACTACCTGTACCTGATCATTGTAAAAACTGATTGTATTAACATATTTTGTCATTCATATAAACTTGAGGATGAATGTGAAGTTTCACTTTTTAATCACCTACACCCAAACAGGGGTGTCTGCAAGATTGGCTGTGTCTGTTTATGGTGGAATCATAAATGCCAAAATAGAGGCTGCAATTGTGATTAAAATTCCTCTTTTTATTTTAATATGTAATACACATGTGCCACATGTACTAAAAAGGGATGGGGTTTTGACCACTCTGTTACAACTTCCATTTTATTTTTTAACACTGGCCCTGGCGGAAGCTCCCCTCGCCCCCCCAAGCATTTTCAGTGAATTTTATTATTCAAAAACAGAAAAATCAACAATACAACTGAAGCTCACCTGCCTTATTTAAGTAATGTTTAACAATGGATGAACTTCCTTGGGGTGTTACAAAGTTATCTACTCCTTCCTTCACCACCATTCCTTTTACTGGGGCAGTCAATGGCTTCAGGACTCCATGAGACAACAAATCTTCATAAAAGCTAAAAAGAGAGTTAATCTGTTAACCAGTTAATCTGTTGACTGCTCTTGTACGGATATTATACTGGTTTAACTGGTTGACTTTTAAATTATTTTAAAGCTTCTTTAGGATAGAAATTCAGAGTTGTAGATGAGGGGTCTCCAAACTTGGCAACTTTAAGACTGGTGGACTTCAATTTCATGCTGGATGGGAATTCTGGGAGTTTTAAAATTGCCAAGTTTGGAGGCCCCTATTTTGCATCATTGTTCCAACGATCTTTAATTGTGGCTTACTTTTGAAATTTGCCCCGTAATTAAATTACATACACCAATTTGGACAACATCCTACAAGATGGGAGACATAGAATGCAAAAAAGATCCTAACTCCAACTACAACACTGAGAGGCAGAATAAAATCCTTATATCTGTTGAAGTTGATTCAGATATCAAATGTTATCCAGATGAATACAAAAATAAAGTGATAAAGTGAAAGTGAATAAAGAAGAAATTATTATATATTTCAGGGCTAACTATATGACCATATTTAATTCAAATTAAGCCACGTTCCATTTTTATCGTGGCCCATCTCCTTTTGAGGTCTTGATAGCAAAATGCTGTGCCATTTTATAAGCTATCTATAGAAATTACAGCCTTGGAACCACTAAACGTGTTAGATCGGCAACTTAATAGCAGATCATCTGTGCTACAAAAGTAAAAATTGACTTTTTTTATAAGAACAATTTTATGAGTGACCCATAATCATTACACCCAAGATGAAATGTTCTTCTCTGCGCAAATAAAACAAGCCTTAAGAATATTTTTATGATATTATCTTCAAACCTGACATCCAGTTTTAAGATCTGATATACTAGAGTCTAGATTCTGCAGATGGAAGGAAACCTTGAAATAGGAAGGATATTTATTTAAACCTCAGAAGCTAAAATGTCCACAAGTGTCTGTAGAGCAACTGTAAAAGACATAGTGAATTACAATGAATTGCAGTGGTCACTGTTTACTACTTTCAACCAGAACAAAATGATATTATATATTATGTAATATAATTAATCAAGGAGAGAAACAACCTAGAACTAAAAAGAAATTTCCTGACAGTTAGAACAATGAATCAGTGGAATGACTTGCTTCCAGAAGTTGTGGGTGCTTCAACACTGTAGGTTTTTAAAAAGAGATTGGACAACCATTTGTCTGAAATGGTATAGGACAGTGATGGCGAACCTTTAGAGACTGAGTGCCCAAACTGCAACCCAAAACCCACTTATTTATTGCGGCAATTTAACCTGAATAATAAGGTTTTGCTACCTAAAATAACGATAAGCAACGCAGAGTTCAGCTAATTGTTCCAAGAAAAATATGATAAATGCACTTCTATGCCCCTTCATTTTTTTTCCTGCTTTTGAAATATTCCATTTAGCAACAATAAAGAAGAAAAACTTTTGTAATATCATTTCTCTTCCCCCCCCCCTTTCTCCCCCCCCCCTCCCTCTGTTTCTCTCTCTCTCTCTCCCCTCCCCCACATGGGGGAGGGGAAAGGAACCCCTGAACTGGTGCTGGGAATGATGTCTGAAGGCCAACGAGCCCAGGAGTAGTGTGCCGAAGCTCAGCTGGCTGGTGGGGAGGCAGGGTATCCCAACACAGACAGCTCTGCAGGTAAAGAAACTGCTTTTTTTTTTTGCCGAGCCAACGCAGGGTTGCATTGTGGCTCCGCGTCGTGATGGGCTTCAGGAGGAGGTGACCCCATCTCCCCCATTGTGAAGCGCATGAGTGAAAAAGTTCACTCAATCAATTTCAACTTCGCGAGATCTTTTTCTTTTGCGAGAAGTTGAAATTGATTGAGTGAAACGCGATGGAGAAACGTGATTGGAGCTGGGCTGGGGCGACTGTGCCCATGCCCAGAGTGGGCTCTGCGTGCCACGTCTCATAGGTTCGCCATCACGGGAATAGGATTTTCTCCCTGAGCAGGGGGTTGGACTAGAAGGTCTCCAAGGTCCCTTCCAACTCTGTCATTCTGTTATATCCTCTTTTGAAATTATTCTCTTTTGAAATATTTGTATAGCCTTAGTACGCAATTGCACTTACATGGGCATAGATAAGTATCTCCTGGCACACAGAAATTCTCCATTTCAAATCACATAATGCACAATTTTCATCTAGATATTTATTTACAGTGATCAGCACCCAGGGTTCATTATGAAAGGCGGATTTCATTTCTTCCTTTTTCATAGCACAACAAAGACCTCAATCTAAAAAGGCTGACATTTGGTTCCAAAAATGCACACAGCAGCATGTTTTTCAATACACTATCTAGTTAGTATCCTGTTTTAGCTTTCATCTACAGAAATAATTTAATTTGCAAGCAACATTACTCTTTCCATTGGAGTTTTATGTCTGGAGACACCAATGTAGTAACTTTTTCTAAAAGCAATGCTTCAGTGTGATGGCTCAAGAGTTATAGAGGTATAAATAAAGCTATAGCAGGAAAGAATTTGGCCTTTATCCCGTCCTCAGTATTGCTTTTAGAAGCAATAGTTTAAAGATTAGTTTAGAAAAATGGGTCTCAAAACTTGGCAACTTTAAGATTTGTGGACTTCCACTCCCAGGATTTCCTAGTCAGTTTGACTGGCTAAGGAATTCTGGGAGTTGAAGTCCACATGACTTAAAGTCGCCAGGTTAGGAGACTCCTGGTTTAGAATACTAAAGAAAATAAGTTCTGGAAGTTCTAGAATAATTTTAATTGGTTTTGTTTTAAATTAATGGATTATGTTTAGAGCAATGTGTGAATCCAGGCAACTGTGGCTTATTTGGCAAACTATGGTCTAGCAATTCAGCCTGGAGGTAACCAATATTCAATAAGTTTGAGAAGCTGTAAGGCAGGGGTGTCAAACTCAAGGCTCGGGGACCAGATCTGGCCTGAAGGGTGCTTAGATCTGGCTCACGGGGCCAGTCCTTTTGCTGGAAACAGCAAAGGACCGGCCTGTGGTGCCTCTGCCAGAAAAAATGAGCGTCCGTCCCGAGCTCCATTTTCGCTGGCAGAGGGTTGCAGGAGGCCATCGCAGCTGAAAACAGAGCTTGGGAGCCCATTTTCGCTGGCAGAGCGCTCAGGCAACCACAGGCGCCTGCCGATATGAGTGACATCAAGCTGGCCACACCCACCCTGGTCCCCCAAGGTCAAACACAACTCTGATGGAGCCCGCAATGAAATCGAGTTTGACACCCCTTCTGTAAGGACTCCAAACTCTTCAACACAGAACAGTCTCATCAACTCTTGCCTAAGTAAGTGGCTATGGACAACCAATTAAAATTTATAAATCACCACTTTCAATTTTCCATAATGCTTGAAGTAACATTTTATGGAAAATCTAAAATAGGCACTACAGGTAGTCCTCAATTTGCAACCATTCATTTAGTGACTATTCAAATTTACACTGAAAAAAGTAACTGGGATTAGTGAGGACTTGCACAAAGATTCCCATGTTCCATCTTGCCAATGATTAGGGACATGGCCCACATATTGTGTGCTTAGCCACAGTGTAATTATGGTTTGTTGAATAAACTATTTCTGGATTGATTCACATAATGGACTAAATCCAAGCTAAATGTGCACTGTCTGAACCCACCATATTTATGGATGTTAAATGTGTTTAGGATTACCAGCTCATCAAAAAAAAATGCTGCTCTACCATTGTGCTTTTTAGAGTGCTACAGGTTGATCAAAAATCAGCAGATGAGTTGTTTTCATAATCTTGAGGGAGACACTGACACCAGGTAATGGGCTGATTTCAGACCTACACATAAATAAGACTCAATTCCTAAATTCCTACCAATTTCAAAGAGTCTATTCCAACATTACTGAGTCTTTACATGGAAGTGCAACTCAAGTTGAAACTATGGACAGTCCTTATTTAGCAACCACAATTGGGACCGACGACTCAGTTGCCAAGCAAAACAGTTGCTAAATGAAAAATCATTGGATGGTCACTGGCCATACAGTTTTATTTCAGCTTTCCTTTGCTTTTTACATCATCAGAAGGCTATGAGCACAAACTGCTGGGTAAGCCCAAATGGCAGGGAAGGTTTTTAAATGGAAGACTGCCGAGAAAAGCAACAAAGATGATATGAGGTGTGGAGGCTAAGTCATACGATGAATGATTGAGGGAACTAGGTATGTCTAATCAAATGAAAAGAAGGACTACGGGTGATATGATAGCAGTCTTACAGTAAATACTTGAGGGGTTGTCACCGAGAAGAGGGGATTGACCTATTTTCCAAAGCACCTGAGAGCAGGACAAGAAGTAACAGATGGAGGATCGTTAAAGAGAAATTCAATCTAAATTTGAGAAATCAAATTTCTCTAAGGAGAAATTTCCTAACAATGAGAACAATTAATCAGTGGAACTTCACTCTGGAAGTTGTTGGTGCTCTGGTGGTTTTCAAGAACAGGCTGGACAATTATTTTTCCAGAATTATATGGGGTCTCCTGCTTGAGCAGCGAGTTTGACTAGAAGACCTCCAACTCTATTATTCTATGTTCTATCTTGTCTCAGAAGAAAATTCAGTAAAAAGACAAAACCTATCTTTGTCCCCATTCCCCACCCTTTGCAATGCTCACTCTGGGTGCTAAGATAATTAGCAAGAAGAAAATTGATACTTGGATTCACATTCATTGGAGAGAAAGGGACTAAAAATTAAAGAGAGTATGCAGGCACACAATGAGAAATATATTGAAAGAAATGTGTTAGTGCCAGCTGTTTGTCTAGCCTTTTGTCAGCTGCTTAAGAGGCAAACAGAAGCCTTTAGTGTGAAACTGATTAGGGTCTGGTCAGTTTCAGGCAACAGATGAAACATGGTCAAGTCACTTTTTCAGTGCTGTTGTAACTTTGAACGGGCACTAAATGAAATGTTGTTAGTCGAGGACTACCTGTACTTAATAGGTGATGTTGCAAACCTAACACAGCTCTTTATTGGAAGTAAAATTTTATTTATTAATTTTTATCCCGCCTTTATTATTTATACAAATACAGTTGTGCTCATAAGTTTGCATACGCTGGCAGAATTTATGATTTCTTGGCCATTTTTCAGAGAATATGAATGATAACACGAAAACTTTTCTTTCACTCATAGTTAGTGTTTGGCTGAAGCCATTTATTATCAATCAACTGTGTTTACTTTTTCAATCATAATGACAACAGAAACTACCCAAATGACTCTGATCACAAGTTTACATACCCCAGTTCTTAATACAGTGTATTGCCCCCTTTAACATCAATGACAGCTTGAAGTCTTTTGTGGTATGTGTGGATGAGGCTCTTTATCTTCTCAGATGGTAAAGCTGCCCATTCTTCCTGGCAAAAAGCCTCCAGCTCCTGTAAATTCTTGGGCTGCCTTGCATGAACTGCACGTTTGAGATTTCCTCAGAGTGGCTCAATGATATTGAGGTCAGGAAAATGAGATGGTCACTCCAGAACCTTCACTTTATTCTGCTGTAGCCAATGACAGGTCAACTTGGCCTTGTGTTTAGGATCACTGCCATGTTGGAAAGTCCAAGAACTTCCCATGCGCAGCTTCTGGGCTGATGAATGCAAATTGTCCTCCAGTATCTTTTGATAACATACTGCATTCATTGTGCCATCAATTCTGACGAAATTTCCTGTGCCTTTGTAGTTCACACATTCCCAAAACATCAGCAATCCACCTCTGTGTTTCACAGTAGGAATGGTGTACTTTTCATCATAGGCCTTGTTGACTTCACTCCAAATGTAGCGTTTATGGTTGTGTCCGAAAAGCTCAATTTTGGTCTCATCACTCCAAATGACTTTGTGCCAGAAGGTTTGAGGCTTGTCTCTGTGCTGGTTGGCATATTGTAAGCGGGATACTTTGTGGCATTTGTGTAGTAATGGCTTTCTTCTGGCAACTCGACCATGCAGCCCATCTTTCTTCAAGTGCCTCCTTATTGTGCATCTTGCAACAGCCACACCACATGTTTTCAGAGAGTCCTGTATTTCACCTGAAGTTATTTGTGGGTTTTTCTTTGAATACCAAACAATTTTCTTGGCAGTTGTGGCTGAAAGTTTAGTTGGTCTACCTGACCATGGTTTGGTTTCAACAGAACCCCTCATTTTCCACTTCTTGATTAGAGTTTGAACACTTCTGATTGGCATTCTCAATTCCTTGGATATCTTTTTATAACCCCTTCCTGTTTTATACAGTTCAACTACCTTTTCCTGCAGATCCTTTGACAATTCTTTTGTTTTCCCCATGACTCAGAATCCAGAAACGTCAGTGCAATACTGGATGAAGGATGCAAGGGTCTGTCAGGAGGCCAGAAACTCATTGAACACTAACCATGAGTGAAAGAAAGGTTTTTATGTTATCATTCATATTCTCTGAAAAATGGCCAGGAAATCATAAGTTCTGCCAGGGTATGTAAACTTATGACCACAACTGTAACTCAAGGCAGCGAACATAATTCAACACACCTACCTCCTCCTATTAAATATGAGGTTTGACAGCCTCTATCCAAATGAAACCAACAACTTCTGCCTCCAAGCATTTTATAAGATGCCTTTCTACATCAAAATGAATTTGTGACCAAACCCGAAGCGAACCAATTGAATTGCAAGACATTTTCACCATGTCGCCATTCATAAAACCGTGAGTGAAACCAAGCCCGTGCACAGTTATCATTCTTACCGTGAACATTTGACGGAAGAAAAAAAAAGTATTTGAATGCCAACTAACAGACTGATTGTCTGTAGAGATTCTCAGTCATCCAGGTCATGGTTGCCCCAAAGGTGCTTTTTCACGAGGCAACTGGACTTCCTTGTTTTTTCTTTGAAGACATTTCACTTCTCATCCAAGAAGCTTTTTCAGCTCTGGCTGGATGGTGGGGAAGGGAAGGATGGAAAGACACTATCCTGTCAGAACCGAAGCAGCTTCTTGGCGGAGAAGCAAAACATCTTCAAAGAAAAAAAGACAGTTCAGTTGCCTCCTGAAAAAAACACCTTTGGGATAAACAGAGTGATTATGTACCACCAACTCACAAATTAAACCCAAGTCCCACTGTCTCTATGGACAAGTTCATACGAAGAATTATTTATTTATTTTATTTATTTATTTATTATATTTCTATACCGCCTTTCTCCCGTAGGACTCAAGGCGGTGTACAGTCAAGAAAAATATAGACACACAAACATCATAAAATTGCTAATTAAAATTGTTACTTAGTTTGGTCAATTAAATAAAACCCAGAATTAGATAACATTTAAAAAATCATTTGCATGTTTGTATGTTTAGCCCTGCCTGTTGGAACATCAGGGTCTTGAGGGCACGGCGGAAAGCACAGAGATCAGGGATATTCCGTATCTCCGGGGGCAGTTCATTCCAAAGGGTTGGAGCCCCCACAGAGAAGGCCCTCCCCCTGGGAGTCGCCAGTCGACATAATTTGACTGACGGTACCCTGAGTAGTCCCTCCCTGTGAGAACGAACTGGTCGGTGGGAGGCTATTGGTGGCAAAAGACGGTCTCGTAGGTACTCAGGTCCTAAGCCATGGAGCGCTTTAAAGGTGATAACTAACACCTTGAATCGCACTGGAAGACCACCGGGAGCCAGTGCAGCTCGCGTAGGAGAGGTGTTACATGGGCGTAATTATGAATCTGTCATCCCTTTAGTTTGCTTTCCCTCTTATTTTCCAGCCTGGGCTTCATTCCTGGGATTACCTAGTGGTCTCCTATCCACAACTCTGCTCATCCTTGTCCAGGTCAATTCAGGGCTGCCTTCCATTTTGCCCAATGCCATTTGAGCACCATTCCAGCCCCTGACCCCAAGTACGAACTACCCACCTGTTGCTACAACAGCATCGACTTCCCCCTCCTCACCCTTCTTCATCTTTCCAAGCCAAAGAGCTGCCGTTTGTTCCCTCCCCCCTCCCCCCAATTTCGCTTACCTCTGATGCGCCTTCGCATAGTGGGGCGTCCGCGTGATGTATTGGGCACCCAGATCGGCCGTGCATTTCGGATCGCGAGCGCTACGGCGCGTCGACATTCTTCCCCCTTCAAAGTCACGTGCGTGGAGACAAGCAAGCCGTTTAGCGCGCGCGCGCTGCCGCCAGCCGCCCAATCAGCTTCTCCGGAGGGGCAAACCTGAGCCTTAGTAACAGGGGAAACATTCCCCCCCCCCCCACGGCCACACACATACCACACACACACACTCCTTCCCCGCACCCCACCAATCCCCGCGAAGCACGGGTTGCACGCGGGCGCTCTGGTTTGGGGCGATGACGCCGGCTGCAAATCTTTTAAGCCGTGAATCTCTCCCCGAGATTTGCCTTGGCGGGGATGCTTATTTCGGGGTTAGGGGACGATAACGTGCCGTAACCCACCGAGTTACGGCTGTTAGCATCTCGAGAGTTTACCTTCTTGCTATGAAAAACCCCTTAGCAACAGGCGATCCCTATTGGAATCCCACCCGAGTCTCCCGGGGGAGGGGGGGGAGGCTTTGCCTCGGGTGTTTTGGGCGGGAAAACTCGTTCTTTGCAGTCTGACTGGGAAATGAGCTCCAGTTAAAAAAAAAAAGGGAGGGTGTCCTGAAATTGAGCGTCAGGCGTGTACTCCTCGAAAGGGTTTCTTAGCCACGTATAGGATCGCGTTTCCTTTGAGAGCAATCCTAAAAAGGAACCTGACAATCCAACTCCGTGGCAGATGAATTGCTGGCAAGACGGTGGGGGGGGGGGGGGGGAAAAGGGGGGAGCCTGGGCTGTTTTTATTTCCCTCAGGGTTAGCGGGGTTTTTGCCTTCCCGGATCCCCGCGATTGGCCGCCTTGCCTTTTCCTCACAGCAGTAGGATCTGCGCCAAACTCACCTGCGCCCTGCGCTTTATCCCAAACCACGACGCGCAGGAGGCGCTGGGGAAACTCGGCGCGCAAAAGGGCAGCGCACAGGCTACCTGTCGGCCCGGCTCCTACGATCAGAATCCGCGCCATGGCCGGACTGTCAGACAAAGGAGGCGGGCCGGTCCGGCCCACCAGATCCTCCTCCTCCTCCTCCTCCTCCTTTTCCTGGAGTTTATGCAATCCAGAAGCCGAGCGCAAGCGGTCGGGCTTTTTTTTTTTGTTTTTGCTGAGGCAAAAAACCGGAGGGACAGCCTCCCGGCCCCTTTTCCCTCTTTAAACCGCCGATTTTGCTCAGCAGCGCCGCGAGGAAAGCAGCTTTGCGCTGCTGTTAACCTCCGCAAACCGAGGGTTAGCCGTCAGAAGTCTTGATTTGGCCCAATCCCGCAGGAAAGGGCGAAATTCACTGAAAAGGAGGGGGCAGGGAAAGGCGGAAGGGTCAACTTGACCTTGAAAAGGGACACCTCTCCCCCCCCGGGCTTTGCAAACCTTCCCAGCTAACCAACTTTGTGCGGCCGCGTTCCGTCTGGTAAACTTTCTAATTCTGGAAACTGGAAATCTACAGGAGGATTGAAATGGCTTGATCCGCATCTCCACACGAGCTGTGCATGGGGATGGATTAGAAGACCTCCAAGGTCCCTTCCAGCTCATTCTATTCTTTCTATTCCTATTCCTTATTTTTCTAATTCTATTTTGTTCTGTTCTGTTCTATTCTATTCTAGTCCTATTCTATTCTTTCTATTCCTATTTCTATTCTTCTAATTCTATTCTATTCTATCCCATCCCATCCCATCCTTTCTCAGTGGGTGAGACTTAGATGGTTCTGATCATTCAGAGTTAGAATGCCTCCATCCATCTTTTAGTAACTTGTTTTAACTAAACAAACTAAACTAAACTAGTGGGTGGGAAAGGAACTTATCGAGGTGCAATATGGTGTCTGGGATGGTATAAAGTCTCCTGCCTTGAGCAGGGGAGATGAATTGGAAGACCTCTAAGGTTCCTTCCAGTCCTTATGATTCTGTGTTCTATGTCTACTTTGGTGCTGAAGCAGAAATGAGCAGTCTTTGCTCAGTTCCATCCAGTCGCCCCGACTCTATCCCGAATTAAGGGATTACAGGGTTATTAAAAAGGAAGTTATTTTTTTTCTAATGGAGGAAGACTGTTTGCACGTTCCTGGGAGTAAATGTCTATGGCAGGGGTCCCCAAACTTGGCAGCTTTAAGACTTGTGGACTTCAACTCCCAGAATTCTTCAGCCAGGCTATGGAGATTCTCAGTCATCCAAGTCGTGGTTCTCCCAAAGATGTTTTTTCAAAAGGCAACTGGATTTTATTTTTCCTTGAAGATGTTTTGCTTCTCATCCAAGAAGCTTCTTCAGTTCTGACTGAGTTGGAGTGTGTGTGTGTGTGTATGTGTGTGTGCATTTAATTAAACCATGACACTCTGGACTCGTTTTTTTCTACCTTGGATGCCGCCGGCCGCAGTGGAACTGGAAGTAAAGGAAACTATCTGCCGTTCGGTGTCTGGCAAAGGATACAATTTCTGTACAGGTACATGGCTTCTGACACAGATTACCTCATTTGTGGCAGTTGCTTGATACTGTCATTGTTGGAAGTGTAATAATTGGCACTCCCTCTGCAATGCCTCAAAATCCCTCAATCTTTGCTTCAAAGTACCAAAAGTGCTTTTTCAAAAGGCAACTGGATTTTGTTTTTCTTTAAAGACATTTTGTTTGTCATCCAAGTAGCTTTTTCAGTTCCGAACTGAACTTCAGAAGTGAAGAAGCCTCTTGGAAGAGAAGTGAAACATCTTCAAGGAAAAACAGTCCAGTTGCCTTTTGAAAAAGCATCTTTGGGACAACCATGACCCGGAGGATTGAGAATCTCCATAGACACTTTATTTCTGTAGAATCTATTCTTTTCCTTTTCTTCTTTATTTAAATTTTTAAAAAGTGGTTTAAAAATTCAGTGGAAAAGCATCTTAAGGTACTTTGCAAGGCACTCTAAATTATAACTAAGCATGAAAAATGTACAAGTGGATTTATTTTTATAATATAATGAAATGAATGTTACTGTAACAGTTTTATGTTTTACATGTAAAATAAAACTGACAGTTTAAGATTAATTTTATTAGGAATATTAATTAGATTTAATTTTAATAAGCATTTTTGTAATATTTTGTTAATTCTGTTACATTAAATAGATACAAGTGCATATTTTATGGATTACCACTTTGCAATAATTTTGTTATGTCTGTCTCAATAAAATGACCAAAGTTTTATTTTTTAAAAAAGTGAAAAGACTTAGTGCTCCTTATCTCTGGAATGTAACTAGAGATTTAAAAAATTATGTTGTAGGATGAGGACTATGTTAGTCTATGGTGGCAAAAAGTTTTGTCTCATGATTTTCTCTGTGTAGAGAATTGAATGAAATAGGAATAAAAGCTTATTATATCCTACAGTGAACTTCTCCTGTGAAGCATATGATCTGCTGTGTGATTTATTGCTGGAATAATCTGATCCCCATTAAGGGAGAAGGGAGTTTAAAAAGAGGAGGATTGTTAGACTTTCAACTGACAAATTGGTTAGAGATAAGATTCAAGATATATGGATGACTTAATTATTATAGCTTGTTTGGTTCTTCTCCTTATTAAAATACAAATCATTTATATATGTACCTTGGAGTGAACTCCATTGAACACACGTAAGATTTCTCTCAATGGAATAAAATATACTACTTGGTTTTCAAATATAAAAAGTTCTTCAAATGAAATATTTATTATGATCACAAACCAAGCATATAAAAAGTTCTTAAATGTGTTTGTATGCTAGCTACTACTAATAATTAAATCCTTGTTAAAGTGACAACACTATTATCTTCACTCACAATGTAACGTAAGTTAAGGTGGTCACAGAATAAACTTTATATCTGATTACTGTGTCATATTTCTGATGCAACATCAGAAGAAGAAATGAGAAATGTTTGGGTGGGATGAATGGAGGAGTACATGTAATTATATTTAATAACAGAGAATATATTTTGTTACTGTTTACAAGGTCTCAAAAAGATCAGGATCAACATAATTTTACACTGGCTTATAATAATGGAAAGTAAAATTATCACTTGCTTCATGCAAAGCAACTTGTTGGGTGAAAATAATAAAACTCATGTGTATATGGGAAATAACCACTAGAGGGAGGTATTGTTCTTCCTAATAGACTTCTCCATTATCCAATAGCTTTTCTATTCCATTTTTCTAATTTTAATTGTTTTCTGGTACTTTTAAAAACCTTTTTATTATATTGTAAGCCACCCAGAATCACTCTATCAATGAAATGGGAGGCATAGAAATTTCATAAATAAATTAATTAAATGAATGACAATGACAATATTTTATAAATACTCATTAAAAACAAAAATGCTGGAGAAGAATATAATTTTGGGTAAGATAAAAGGAAAGAAAAGAAGATATCAACCAATGGCAAGATGGATGGACTCAGTTACAACAGGCATGGCTCCCCTTGGCAGACTGAAGGACCAGATGGGGATAAAGTGTCCTGGAGAAAATCTATGTGATCAAAAGAGTTGACTGTAACTTTATATACTATCGATTTATCAACTTCAAAGTTTCTTACAATTTCAGGGTATCTGACCATGTTGAAGCTAAGTGTCTAACAATAAGTAGCTCTAAGGTTATATTTGCAGGTATGAATAGCACATACATTGTTTTTAATACATAGGCAATTTTCCCCATAACTTTTGCATAGTTTACATGTTTTCATTATATACTCAGATCTTGTGAAAGCTTGTTTTAATTCTTGGGTTTTGGTATGTTACAATCATCTTTGGGAATTTTTTTCTCCTATTATGAATAAAGAATATGTACTCCATGGTAGCTTTATGGTTTTGGAAATAAAGAGCCAGAGCAAGATAAAGTGAAACTCTAGTCATGTATATATGAATAAAGAGGCCTATAAGTCCTAGTAATAGAATAGCTAATGTCAGGTGCCGGGAAAATCAGGAGATTTAGGCAGCTCAAATGAGCATAAGATTATTGCAACCTTAAGCTCTCTACAAAAAAGTGGAAATTAAGAAGGCGTTCAAGATGAGCTAGACTTGGATCTCTCGTGAGTGTGCAGAGATTTGTGACTTATAACACATTTGACTCCTCCCTTGGGCTCAGCCTGGTCATCTACAGCTAACATTTTAATTCACAATTAAGCCATAATTTAACAGTTCTTGTTAGAGTTTAATCTAATAAAGTTTTGTCCAATTACCCTTCAAATCATGTTGTTGCTATGATTATTGATCCCCTAAGACAAAATCATTTGTTTTTAATAATTGCCAACAAGAACTATAATGGAAAGGGGGGAAGAATGTTGCTCCTGTGCTATTCGCTCATGAGCCCAAATGTACTGATCATTTCCTTTTTTTTTTTTTTTTGGTTTTAAATATTTTATTGTTAAGAAATTGTAATAATACAGTTTTTTGTCCATCCGATTACATGGTATAGAAAAAGGAAATAAATAAAAATACAAATGTATGTACATATAGATAATCTTTGCTACTCAATTACATGGTATATAAATATATATATATATACTTATATCATTCTTAATGTGTATATATATATATAATGGGTCTTTAAAGGTAAATTAATAAATACATAAGTCATATCTTTTGCTTACCTACGTAACCTTTCCTTACCTCGTTTTACTTGTACCGTAGATGGTAGAAAGTAAAACGAAGTACTGATCATTTCCATCAGTGTTTGAACAAAATGACATCACATATGTCGTGAGGTCATCCCACAGAGGAGACAAACTAGACTAGTACTGTATAGTGATGTTATATTCCTTACCTGCCCGTGATCATTAGTCCTCAGGAAGGTGTCCTACAAATCCTTAGTTGCACTCCTACAAATTGTACACAATAGATAGTTTGCCTCCTGTGTTTCTCTGCAGGAATTTCATGGTAAGCAACATATTGTCTTCTAATATGGGGGAATTCAATTTTCTTCAATCCCAGATAATGTGACTTAATAAAGCAAAGGAAAGGGGGGAATGCAATCCGCACTAAATAAAATAAAATAATTAAAATGTATTTAAGCGTTGTGAAGTGTATCACCCTATGACAAACGCAAGCAGCATGACCTTTGGATTCATAAGGAAGTGACAATCTAAATCTGAACATTTTATCTTCTAAGGAATGTGGATATCTTTGAGAGCATCATAATTTAACAGTATCTCTTGCAAAGATGGCTTGCAAAAATCACATTGTAACTGAAACAACATAATGCAAACACTGTAGGATGCCACAGTAAGCGTATAGGTAGTCCTCATTTACTGACCACAATTGAGACGACAACTATTAAGTGCTATAGTTGCTAAGCAAAAAAAAAAAAAAAAATCACATCACCATGTTGGACTTACGAAGTCACTTCCAATTCCATCTCTAAGTGAGTCATTGCAGGTTGTTAAGTGAGGCATCATATGACCAAGGCTTGCAATTTTACTGCTGACTTCTCGGAAGCCTGTTGTGAAGTGCACAAATGATGATCACATGAACTATAATTTAAGAGTGTTTTTAAAAAATGAAGCACTAAGTTGTAAAACACTTTAAAAATAACAACAGTATCTTGGGGGGGGGAGTCAATTTATCAATCTTTTAATTCAAAAACCAAAAGAAATATACATACATTCAATATTTTCCTATCACTTAGAGACAACATGTGGCATTATTTGTCTCCAGCAAATGTCACAGTTTGGAATATTCAAATTGAAGACTAGGATTCTCTTTGGCAAAATTTTTGCTTGAAAGGCCAGCAGATTTGGCGCACAAGTTACTATTTAAAAAAAAAAAAAAAGTTTGCAAGATCTCCAAAATCTTGTCAGATTACCGTTGACCTCAGAGAAGAGTAACATCTTGTTAGATTGTTCTTGTAGATTGATCCACCTTTGGTCAATCTCATGTTGGCAGTAAATCCTTCATAACTCAGAGCCAACATGAAACAGCTTTAGAGTTTGAAGCATGATATGTCTGGAAAGTGCCTGATGGGGACCTGTATTACCGTCAGTCCAAAATGAGAAGCTTAGCTCATAATTGGACTTCACTCCATGCAGTGGGATAGCAAAGAGCAGAGGCAGAGTCATTTTCTCAGCTTCTTGGCATCTGGACTTTGTGCTTGATCTTCATAATAACTGGAATCCAAAGATTAACTTTAGTACAAAGGTGGTGGGTAGTACTCTCTTTGCCAGAGAAAGCTCAGAATATCACCAGTGGGAAAAATGATATGCAGAGAAATTGGAAAAAATGGAAGAAAATCGCAGCAACATTCTCTGGTAAGTTCTATTTGCAATTATCTCTAATTAGTGTGATTGGAAAACAATTATAGTAAAGTTAGCCTCTGACTAGAAAATAGAACTGTTACATTCAAAAGAACTCTTATTTAATCTGTTCTATCATATTTTACTTCTTTGAAGAGCTGCTTAGGATTTTACATTCCAATACAATCAATCTGACTATATCACAGATTCCAGAATTCTTAAAAAAAAAAAAAAAAACATTTTCCAGAACCATACCTGCCCAGGAATCACCAAGTTTAGTCTCTAATGCTGAGATTTATTATGGTCTCCCATCCCAATGCTAATTAGGTCAAATCCTACTTAGCTTTTTTGAGATCAACAAAGCCAGTTTTTTGTTCCCATCGGCGAAGATTATTGTACAACCTTCTTAGAAATTGTGGATGATTTACAGTAGTACAATATTAATACAGGTAGTCCTTAACTTACAACCACAATTGAGCCCAACATTTCTGTTGCTAAGTGCCACGTTTGTTAAGTGAGTTTTGCCCCATTTTACAACCTTTCTTGCCACAGTTGTTAAGGGAATCATGGCAGTTGTTAAGTTAGTTACATGGTTGTTAAGTGAATCTGGCTTACCCATTGACTTCGCTTGTCAGAAGGTCGCAAAAGGTGATCCTATGATCCCAGGACACTGCAACCATGTAGATCAGTTGTCAACTGTCTGAATTTTGATCACATGATCATTGGGATGCTGCAACGGTCATAAGTGTCAAAAATGGTCATAAGTCACGTTTTTTAATGATGTTGTAACTTTGAACAGTCACTAAATGAATGGTAGCCTCTGGCCTCAAGTCTCCAGTTTTTTCCAACAAAAATAATCTTGTGGGGTAAGTTGAGACGAGATGGTGAATGATCAAAATTCACCAAGTGAGCTTCTTTAGGTAAGGGTTAAACTTGAACTTGGATCTCCGTATACTACACTGGCTATTTTTGAAAAGGAAATTGGCTGTTGTAGTGTTTCCATGCGCCTTCGGCATTTAGTCATGCTGGCCACATGACCACAGAGACGTCTTCAGACAGTGCTGGCTCTTCGGCTTTGAAACGGAGATGAGCACCGCCCCCTAGAGTCGAGAATGACTAGCACGTATGTGCGAGGGGAATCTTTACCTTTACCTTTTTAGCAGTGTTTTACTGTCTCATCTGAATTCAGCAGTAGCCAATGCTGACTAGTCTGAATGAAACTTCACTTTAAATCATTTTTCTAAATGCTTGGTGAGTATCACTGATCAAGGGAGTGCAAAACATTACAGATCTGAATTGCTTCAATATTGGAAAAATACATTTAGGAATGGATTGAAGACCTGAAGTTACTTGTGGCTTTAGAAAGAAATGCTTACAAACAAATTATGTAGGGGGTGACTGTACTGTAGTGAATTATGATAATTCTTTATTGAAACTATTACAAACAATGCTGTAACCATGGAGGTTATTTTATATCACTTTTTATAATTCATTTTTTCTTTCTTTGTTTTGTGCTTTTTTTGGTCCTTGCTCTTCTTTCTTTCATTTCTCCTCTTTTTAATTCTAAATATTCGATCTTGCTAATTTTTATTCTGTATGAAAATTTTAATTAGTTTTAATTTAATTTTTTATTTGTTTAATTAGAAAACTTACTAAAGTATTGGACAAATAAGTACATGCATGTGTGTGCATGAGTATCTATGTGTAACCTGTGTATCTTTTGTATTACTTTCTTTTTTCTTACACAAATGTTTAATTTCGATGAACAAATACCATACATTATACATAGAATAGTAATTAAATAATAAATTGTTTAGTAAATCCACTCTTCCCCCAAAAAGCTCCCCCACCCCAGTTTTGAATTTGAAAGACTTTATCCTTCCAAAAAGCATTTAAAACTATGATTCGAGTGCAATTCTGGGCTGTATTAGAAAGTTTAGCTGTGGTGCCAGATCATTTTTGTTCTTTATTTCAGTGTTTTTATCTCATCGTTGGTATATATCATTTTTATCTTGCACCATGAGCCAAGAGTTTGGTTTAAGATGGGCAGCCCTGTAAATATTTGAAATAAATAAAATAAAAAATCTTGTTTGAGGCATTGGCTCTGAGTGTGAAGCTGCTATTTCTGCATCAAAACGTGTCATTTCAATCCTTTTTCAGAAATATTTTGAATCCAAGTAGATTGCTTCCATCTTGAAAGAGCTGCCTCATATCCAACACACTCTGATTGATGGCAACAGCCTGTGTTGCATTCTAAATCTGCCATTTTGTACTTAAAATGGACCATTCTGAATTTGAGCTAGCGCTAACAGGAACTGTTTTACAGACAAATACAGGTAGCCCTCGACTTACAAGAGTTCATTTAGTGACCGTTAAAAGTTACAACAGCACTGAAAAAAGAAACTTAGGACCGTTTTTCACAGTTACAACTCTTGCAGCATCCCCATGGTCATGTGATCAAAATTCAGATGCTTGTCAATTGGTTCATATTTATGACCGTTGCTGTGATCCAGGGTCATGGGATCCCATTTTGTGACCTTCTGACAAGCAAAGTCAATGGGGAAGCCACAAAGTCACTTAACAACCTGGGTTGCTAACTTATCAGCTGCAGTGATTCACTTAACAACCGAGGCAAGAAAGGTCGTAAAATGGGGCAAAACTCACTTAACAAATGTCTCACTTAACAACATACATTTTGGGCTCAATTGTGGTCATAGGCCGAGGACTACCTCCATTGTTCAAGGGGAAGCTTTCAACATAGCTCATTGCTCAAGAGCAAAGGGATCAAGGCCATACATTAAGTTGCATTTCAAAAGATTTATTGCTCATGCCTATAAACAAGATTCTAGTCAACTAACATTCATACGATTATAGAGCCGGGATGGCGCAGTGTTTTAGTTCTCCATTCTCTGTTAAAATGTCTTTATATCTTATAGTCTTGTCCATATTAATCATATTTGGATGTGTCAATGTTTCTATTGTTGAAAGCCACATTGATATTTCCATATAGTGTTTTTCTTTTACTCTCTCCCATACTGCTAACAAACCATTCCTTACACAATGTCTCTGAAAGTATCCATGTATCTTATTTTTTCCATACCATAAGAAAGCATGCCAACCTAGTTGTAAATCATGTCCTTCCAAAGTCAATAGAACTTCTATGTCAGTTATGAGACGCTGACAATAGTCTTGTATTTCTCAATAAAATCCATTCTTTAATCCAAGTTAGCATCGCCGCTTGGTGATACAATTCCCAATTTGGTAGACCAAATCCTCCTCTATTTCTAGAATCTTGGAGCAATTTAAGATTAATTCTTGCTTTTTTCCCTTGCCATATATATTTCCACATCATTTTGTTCAAACTCTCAAAATATTTCTTCTCCAACTTTATCGGAATTCTTTGAAAGAGAAACAACAGTCTTGGCAATATATTCATTTTAATTAATGCTATTCTTCCCATTAAAGATAATTGTAAATTTTTCCATTTTTCCAAGTCTGTTTCAATTTGATTTCTCAGTTTATAATAATTGTCTTCCTTCACTGTAATGCATCTTGAGGTTAATTGGATGCCCAGATATTTCACTTTCTTCATTATTTAAATATCTAGTTTCTCTGTTAGTTGTTTCTTTTGTTTTTCTCCCATATTTTTAACTATAATTTTTGTCTTATCTTTATTTATTTTCAATCCAGCTACTTCTTCATATTCCTCTATTTGCTCAATTAGCTTTGGGCCTGTTTCATAATGAATACTAAATCATCCGCAAATGCTTGTAGCTTATATTCTTCTTTTTTAATTCTCAACCCTTTTATTTCTTTATCTTGTCTTATTTTTCTATTTAAAATTTCTAGGGTCAAAATAAATAATAGTGGAGATAGCGGACATCCTTGTCTAGTTCCTTTTCTTACATCTATTTTCTCTGTCATTTCACCATTTATTATTACTTTTGCAAATTGGTCTTTATATATAGTCTTAATCATATTGATAAATCTATCCCCAAAATCCATCTTTTGTAGTTGTAAAATCATGAATTGCCAGTTCACATTATCAAATGCTTTCTGTGCGTCTAAGAATAACAGTGCCATTTGTTTTTCTGGATGTGCCTCGTAGTATTCCAATGTATCCAATATAATCCTTATATTGTCTCTAATTTGTCTTTTAGGGAGAAAACCATTTTGATCTAAATATATAAATTCATGCAAATATTTTATAATCTGCATTTAATAGTGAAATTGGTCTCTAATTCTTTATTTGTTGGAAATCTGTTTCTTCTTTTGGTATAAAAGTTATATATGCCTCCATCCATGAGTTCGGTACCTTGGCTTCTATTAATAAATCATTAAATATTGTAGCAGTGTATTGCTTAGTACATCCTGCAACTTTTTATATAAAATTCTGCTGGTAACCCATCTGATCCCGGGGTTTTTCCATTCTTCTGCTTTTTAATTCCCTCCATCAATTCCATCATTGATATTCTTTCTTCTAATGCTTTTTAAAATTATTCTGGTATTTTGGGAGTCTTTACTTTTTCCAAATGTTGTACTATTTTTCCTTCTGGTGCCTGTTCTTGTTGATATAGTTTCTTATAGTATTCCTCAATTATTTTTTTCTTTTCCTCATTTCGATAGCGTATCTTTCCCTCTTGATCTAATAATTGACTTAGCAATTTCCCTTCTTTTCCCTTCTTCATTTTATATGCTAGCCATCTTCCTGCTTTATTTGCATTTTCAAAAAAGTTTTGCTTTGATGATTTTATTTTCCTTGCCAGGCCTTCATTTTCTATTAAATTCAATTTATGTTTTGTCAAATCCTTTAGATTTTTGATTTTTTAATCTTGTGGATTTACATTTAATATACATTTTGTAAATTATTGTATATTATTATTTTCTAAATGGACTGAGTGAAAAAGTGAAAAAAGCAAAAAGCACCTTTGACGTATGACTTGACCTTTATGTAAAGTGTATTACTTGAAAATGTCAAGCATATTTGTCAAACAAAAATCTCCCTTAAACATCTCATAATTATTTCTGGATGAGGAAATAAGAACTGAACAGAACCTGTTTTGATTAAGATTTGCACTATAATAGGCCTATAAATCTCTCATCTGGCTTGTTATTTGTAGTACTAAAATATTACAATGTCAAAAACTTGACCTCTTTTACATTCCATTTCCTATTCTATCCCAACCGACAGTTATAATATAAGGTAGAGTTTATCAAGAAGAAAGGATCATTTGTCCAAACTAACATTTATGAAAGAACTGTGGCTCAACTTTGTTCTGATATAATTTGTGTTATTTCTGCTCTGCTTTTATTCACTTACCGGTAGCTTATTTTTCTGAATCTGGCAGGTTGGACCTTCAAAGCAACTGATATTCTCTGGTAAGTTCCTTTGAACTATCCAAGTTGAATATAAATGCAACATAAATGTTTATTACATGGCATTTCTCTATGATTAATGTTGCATAGAGAAAAATAGCTACAGGTACTGAAAGATTTTCATGGTTTTTCTCTATCTTTGCACAAACTATTGAATTGGACAGAGAGTCCAATTACACATAAATATCTATTAAAATAGAATTTGAATGGATGCTTTTAAAATTAAATTGCAAGCTTAAGAATCAGGGTTCCTATGAATACAAACTTAAATTCCTGAAATTCACTTCCAAAGATTGCAGAATTGATTTTAGGCAACAGTATATTTCTGGGTACCGTCTATATTTTGATAATAATGTAGAAAATGTATGTGTGGAAAAATGATGCATCCCAAACAAACCTTTATGAGAATGTTAATGATTAAAAAAAAAAAACAACATTCACTAGGCTACAAAATTGAACTGAGATGCACCATTTATTTTGGCCTTTACAAATATTTTCTTGGTTTTTAGAATAATTATATTCTAAATAGTGATTTACCATCCTTGATGGAATAGTTTTAACTGAAGTTTTAATTGAATTATTTCGACCTTTGGTCTTTGGTGTGAATTTAATTGAAGGAAGAGAAAATCTAGTGAACTTGCTTCTGATTCTTTAGAATAGAATAGAATTCAAGGTGCTGGTAATTACCTACAAAGCACTTCATGGCTTAAGCCTGGATTACTTGTGGGACTCTTTCTTCCTAGTTATATTTACCAATCCTGTTAGTTCTGATGGAAGAGACATGCTATGGGTCCCGTCTATTAAGGAGTGTTATTTGGCAAGAGCTGGGCATACAGCTTTTTCTGTTGTAGCATCTAGTTATAGAACATCATTCTTCTGGAAATTAGACTTGCCTCAAGACTTTAGGCCCGGTTTTGCTACTGAGCTTTGACCCCAAGTATGTGACTGAGTTTATACCATGCAGAGGTGGGTTTCAGCAGGTTCTGACCAGTTCTGGAGAACCGGTAGCGGAAATTTGGAGTAGTTCGGAGAACTGGTAGTAAAAATTCTGACTGGCCCAGCCCAGGGGTGAAATGCTCCCGGTTCGGACCAGATCGCCTGATCTGGTAGCGATGGAGGCGGGTGGTTCAGAGAACCGGTAGCAAAAATTCCTGGGCCCCCCCATGCCCAGCTGAGCCGCACAATCATCAGAGGCTTCTTTTTTTTACTTTTAAAAGCATTTTTTCTACAACCTCTTTGGCTGAAAAAATGCTTTTAAAAGTAAAAAAAAAAAGCTTCTGATTGCCTGATTGGCAGAGGCTTTTTTAAAAAGCCTCTGCTGATCAGGAACTCGGCTTGGATCATCAGAGGCATTTAAAAGAAAAAAGCTTCTGCTGATCAGGCAACTCAGCTTGGATCGTCAGAGGCATTTAAAAGAAAAAAACCCTTTTTTTTCTTTTAAATGTCTCTGACGATCCAAGGTGAGTTGCCTGATTGGCAGAGGCTTTTTAAAAAAGGCTCTGCCGATCAGGCAACTCAGCTGGGATTGTCAGAGCCTTTTGAAAGCATTTTTTCACCAAAGAGGTTGTAGAAAAAATGCTTTTAAAAGTAAAAAAAAAAAATTGGCCATGCCCACCCAGTCACATTACCCCCCACCACCAAGCCACGCCCACAGAACTGGTAGTAACAAAATTTCACCTCTGGCCCTGCTCCCATCTATTCTCTGCATCCCAAGTCCCAGCTGATTGGGAGGAAATGGGAATTTTGCAGTATCTTTCCCCTGGTGTGGGGTGGGAATGGAGATTTTACAGTATCTTTCCCCTGCCATGCCCACCAAGCCATGCTACACCCACCAAGCCACACCCACAGAACTGGTAGTAAAAAAATTTGAAACCCACCACTGATACCATGGTTATGTTAATTGATGGGTTGGTTGATTTTTTAATCTCATATATGTTATTGATTTACTATTGTTTTCATTTTGTTTTTAACGGCAGAATTTTGCATTTAAGATCAGTGGCTTACAAATCAAATAAAAAAACCAAATCTTCTAATTACAGGTAAACCGAATATGTGGCTGGTTCTGATTTTACTTTATTGGCCTGTATTAGTTGAAGGAATTATTTTGAAAAAAAATGTTAATCCTGAAGCCAGACTGAATTCAGTAAGTAACTTCTCCAAGGAATTTTTCAGAACAGCCCATTCCATTGGAATAATGCTGAAGCAAGGATGATGTCTACTTTTAAGGTCTTCTAAAGCCTCAGAAAAACTATGTTGGAGGGCCTTCAAAGAAAGACTGATAATCTTGACAGAATTAAACTGAACTTGATTAGCTGTTATCATGTTCAGATTTTTAATGTTCATAATATATGTAGTTATCTATAGATGTTGGTTACTGTATTAGCATATTTGTCATATTATTCCCATCTATACCTCTTAGTAGTTCTTTAGATTGAAATAGTCTATTAGGTTTATTCATCATATCACATTTATCACTATGATGAACTGATTTTGCGTTTGTCTTCCCTTTTTGTAGAAAGAACTCATCCTGTACTGGAAATATCCTCTTGAGGAATATTATGTGGTTACAGAAGATGGCTATATTCTCAATTTATTCAGAATTCCACATGGCAGAGAAAACAACACAACCACAAGTTTGTATTCTTATTAAGTTGGGCCATTTTACAATTGTGCTTTACAATAGTGTATGTGCTTCTCAGCAAAGAACAAAATTCAAAGCCTCTCTGCGAATGTGGAGAGGGAAGCAACAATTTAAGATGGAATAACTCTGCTACAAATTATAATTTTGGAATAAAGTTACAACATCCAATATTAGTCTAACAAAGATTACCTGAAGCACCAAATGACAGGATGTCTTTGTGATTGCTTTGTTTCAGGTCCAAAGCGAGTAGTGTTTCTACAGCATGGCTTGCTGGTAGATGCTGCCCAATGGTACCAAAATTTTCCTCATAATAGTCTGGCTTTCATGCTAGCAGACACTGGATATGATGTCTGGCTAGGAAATAGCCAAGGGAACACCTGGTGCAAGAATCACACATCTCTTTCACCCTTGTTTGAGAAGTTTTGGAAATTCAGGTATCCTGATATAAGCTCTGCAGAGCAATTTGAATTTCAGAAGTCTCTTCATGCTGGAGTTGTATGAATGCTTGAGAATTTTTATAGTCTTTGAGGCTATTATCAATTGGGCTGCCTTCCTCTCTCTGAAGCACAATCCGAGATACTCAAAGCATTTCTTATTGTGTTTTAAGTTTATTACAGTGGTGAAATCCATTTTTTTTACTACCGGTTCTGTGGACGTGGTATGGTGGGCGTGGTGTAGCTTGGTGGGCATGGCAGGGGGAGGATACTGCAAAATCTCCATTCCCACCCCACTCCAGGAGAAGGATACTGCAAAATCCTCATTCCCTCCCCACTCCTGGGGGAAGGATATTGCAAAAACTCCATTCCCACCCCACTCTGGGACCAGACAGAGTTGGTATTTGCCAGTTCTCTGAACTGCTCAAAATTTCCGCTACTGGTTATCCAGAACCTGTCAGAATGAACCTGCTGGATTTCACCCCTGGTTTATTATCTTATTTCCCTTCGTTCCTATTCTGGACAAGAATAGTACATGTCTGCATGAGATCTAGTCCAGCGGCCCCCAACCTTTTGGGCACTAGGGATCAGCTCCATGGAGATAGGTTTTTCTGCAGAGTGGAGGGAATGTGGTTTCGTGTGCTGCCTGCATCCTGCAGATGAGGCTTCGCTTGTTTGTATGGCCCAGTTTCTGGTATGCCGCAGATCAGTGCCAGTCCATGGACCGGGGGTTAGGGACCCCTGACCTAGTGTATACATTAATAAGAGCTGCTTGTTTGCTTTATTCCACTCGCAACAGAAAAGATAGAGCAAGGGTGTCAAACTCAAGGCCCGTGGGCCAGATCTGGCCCGTGGGGTGCTTAGAACTGGCCCATGGGGCTGCCCTGGAAACAGCGAAGGACCGGCCTGCAGTGCCTCTGCCAGTGAAAATGGAGCTTGGGAGGGCTGTGTGCAGCCCTCCTGAGCTCTGTTTTCACTGGCAGAGGGTTGCAGGAGGCCATCAAAGCCGAAACGGAGCTCAGGAGCCCATTTTCGCTGGCAGAGCACTCAGGCCCCTGACATGAGTGACGTCGAGCTGGCCACACCCATCCTGGCCCTGCCCCCCCCAGCACCCCAAGGTCAACCCTGTTGCAGCCCTCAATAAAATCGAGTTTGACACCCCTGAGATAGAGCATAGAGCAGATTCTGATTTTTGGAGCAAAAGTAGAATTTTTCTGCCTTTTACTTCCTTAACAACAGTTTCTCTGAATTGCTTTTCTCCATTTGAAGCCCCCTTAGGGAAAATAAATTAATGCTATAAAGGAAGCCTCCTTTACGGTTTCTCAAAGCTTTTTGTTCCCATACTAAAGGGACTTTTATTTTACAGGGAGTCCTAAACTTACGACCAAAGTTGAACCCAAAACTTCTGTTGCTGAGAAGTGCTGTTGTAACTTAGAATGGTTACTTAATGAACTGTTGTAAATCGAGGACTATCTGTATTAATTTGTCTTCATATTTTATTCTCAGGAAGATGAACCGTTTATTTTTACTGCATATTTTTTTATTTTGCCATCCCCATTATAAGTTTTTGATTGGCTTACATATTGTAGAATGAAAACATGACATTCACACTAGCGGTAGGATTCAAATAATTTAACAACCGGTTCTCTGCCCTAATGATTTATTCCAACAACCAATTCACCAAACTGCTCAGAAAGTTAACAACCGGTTCTCCCGAAGTGATGCGAACTGGCTGAATCCCACCACTGATTCACACCCAAATCCTTGGCTGTAAGAACTCCACCACTTCCACACACACTCCAGCCATTAGAAGTTTTCAACAAAATAACAACAAAAACCCATTTTCCCTCTCTTTCTCCAAATTCAGTCGTCGTTGAAAAGAAAAAGATTATTGCTATACTTACACTGATACTCCCTTTCCCAACATATATGCCATTGCCAACATCTATGCAAGCAAGGCTAGCAGAGCTGGATTTAGGCACAATCTAAGCAATCAGAAGAATTTCCCCAAATTTCAGATTTTTAAAAACTATTACAGTTTTATTATAATTCCATTGAAGATAGTTTCCATAAATTATCTTCCTCCAAGAGAATATATGTAGCTTAGGTTTGAACAGTGCTGATGATGTTACTTAGTTGTGTAATGAAGTGTCTGCAGCAGGGGTGAAATTTACTTACCTTCCCTACTGGTTCACCAATGTTCGTGTGCCGTCATCTGCGCATGCACAGAGACTTAAGATGTCACAAAAAAGCGATGTCATGACATCCGTGCGGGTGGGCGGAGCCTCCCGCAGGCGCCGTTACCAGTTTGCCCAAGTCAGATAGAACTGGTTGGATTTCACCCCTCGTCTGCAGGCAAATAACCAAGCTCACTGAGCATCAAAGAAGTCCATATTAAGCCCTTCTTTATGGCTTACGGATGCTCCTTAATTGATTAAGATGTGCTTCATTCCTACATGCATTCTAGACCCCATCAGGACGCCAGTCCTAAAGGTTAGTCATGGACAAGATGGAAAGGTAGGATTTTGGGTCTAAATCTTGAACTCTTGTCCTTTACTTAATTTTAAGGCTGGTTAGGATGCATGGCTTGAGCACCATATCCACCGTGGAAACCACTTTGTGAAAATGAGACTCACGCATTCTCGGGTTTTGAAAGGCTGAAGATCCTTGCCATGCATGCAGCTTAATGAGGACATTTGTTTTTGTTTCCAGTTACGACCAGATGGCTAAATATGACCTTCCAGCATCTATAGATTTTGTTCTGCAGGAAACTGGGCAGCAACAACTTTATTATATTGGCCACTCCCAAGGAACCACCATTGGTAAGTTCAGAAGATGCCCAATCTTGTGCCAAGGGGCTGCTCTTGTCTAGGGCTACAATCTTATGTATATTTACCAGAAAGCTAAGTCCCACTGAACTCAAGTAAATGTTCTAATTAATATGCATATATAAGACAGTACTGGGAATGCATTTGCTTGGAAGTACATCTAGTGCATGGGTGTCAAACTCAAAGCCCATGGGCCAGATGCGGCCCTTGGGATCATTAGAGCTGGCCCATGGGGCTGCCCTGGAAACAGTGAAGGACCAGCCCATGGTGCCTCTGCCAGTGAAAATGGAGCTCTTGAGGGCTGCCCTCAAGAGCTCTGTTTTCGCTGGCAGAGTGCCAACAAAACAAACTACTAGCAAAAGTGGTATTTGATCACATGAGTGATGTCGAGCTGGTCATGCCCCCCTGGCCACGCCTCCCTGACCCCCCCCAAATGAAATCGAGTTTGACACCCCTGATCTAGTGTGTTTTAGTGACAGTGACTCAGGCACGAAACCAGCTGAGCCAGTCACTTTCTCCCAGCCTTAGGAAGAAGCAATGGCAAACCACTTCTGAAAAATCTTGCCAAGAAAACGACAAGGACGTCAGCTAGAGAGTCTCCAAAAATTAGACATAATTGAAAGGGTGGTGGTGGGGGGGGGGAAACCTGCCAGTCAAGCAAGCAACAACTTGGAATTGTTATCAAAGATTTGCATTTCCAAGTCCTCATAGCATACATGGCACACAAAGTGCTGAACAACAAGGTAAGCAATTTGTGTAGCTGCCTCTTTTTCTTTTTACTAGCCAAGGTTTACGAAGGCCAGAGTGAGGTAGCATCTCAGTGGAGAATTAATTCGGGATTCATCCTGTTTCTTCTCCATGCTTTTAGCAAGAAGCTAGATCTTAAGCATATCAAAGATGGAATCTTATTTAATCAGGTGGGATTTTGTTTAATCGGGTGGAATCGGGAAATCAATTGACTTTGATGTTCACAAGCTGTTTCTCTCTTCTTTTTCTCTCCTTCAGCTTTTATAGCTTTTTCATCCAATCAACAACTGGCTTCCAAAATCAAACTGTATATGGCTTTAGCACCTGTTGCTACTGTTAAAAATGCTAAAACACCTTTAGCCAAATTTGCAAAACTGCCTGATGCAAAAATTAAGGTATGTGGATTAGGTGACTTTGGCCTGTAAATATTTATTATATGAAAGTTGTAAGATTTAGAAACTTGGTCTTTTTGCAGTCTTAGGAGACAGGGCGTTTTCCTTTTACTTGGATACCTGAGGAACCCTCTCACCCCATTCCACTCATTCTGTCAGAAGGGGTTTGTGGCGGATCCTGTCAGTCAAGGACTGGCAGACTCCAGGAGAAGGACATTTTCTGCTGTGGCTCCTGCCCTCTGAAACATTGTGGGATCTGCCCCCACTCTCTTGGCTTTCCCTAAGAGTCTTGAAACCTGGCTGTGACAACTGGCCTGGGGGCCCTGATGTTGAAGGTGATACTAGTTCATCTCCACCCTTCCATGTTGGAAGTGGATTAGGAAGAAGAACCCACCTCCACCCTGTAGTATTCTGGTTTTGACTTACCGTATTTAATTTCTATTTATTTATTTCCTATTGAATGTTTCATTTTTACTCTTTAATTTTATGATGTTTTTAAGCTGTCCAAGGTCACGTGACAGTGATATGGGCATCATATCATAAATTAAATAAATAAATTTTCTTTTAGTCTTGGAATTTCCTTCCTTCCTTCCTTCCTTCCTTCCTTCCTTCCTTCCTTCCTTCCTTCCTTCCTTCCTTCCTTCCTTCCCTCCCTCCCTCCCTCCCTCCCATCCATTCATCCATCTTTCTGTCATCTCTGTTTCTCTCTCTCTCTCTCTCCCACACTCACACACAGAGAGCCAATATTACTAAAAAAGAGTGTTTTCCTATACATAGGTAGTCCTTGACTTACAACCACAATTGAACCCAAAATTTCTGTTGCAATGCAAGACAGTTCTTGAGTTTAGCCCAGTGGTGAAATCTAAAATTTGTTACTACTGATTCTGTGGGTGTGGCTTGTGTACGTGTGTATGTGTGTGTGTAATGTGACAGGGTGGGCGTGGCCAATTTTTTTTTAACTTTTAAAACCATTTTTTCTACAACCTCTTCGGCGAAGAGGTTGTTAAAAAATGCTTTCAAAAGGCTCTGACGATCCCAGCTGAGTTGCTTGATCGGCAGAGCCTTTTTTTCTTTTAAATGCCTCTGACGATCAGGCAACTCAAAGGCTTTTAAAAGAAAAAACCCCTTTTTTTCTTTTAAACGCCTTTGATGATCCCAGCTGAGCCATGCGATCATCAGAGGCTTTTTTTTTTATTTTTAAAAGCATTTTTTCGGCCGAAGAGGTTGTAGAAAAAATGCTTTTAAAAGTAAAAAAAAAAGCCTCTGATGATTGTGCGGCTCAGCTGGGATTTGGGGGGGGGCAGGGATTTTTGCTACCAGTTCTCCAAACCACCTGCCTCCATCGCTACCGGATCAGGAGATCCGGTCCGAACCGGGAGCATTTCACCCCTGGTTTAGCCCATTTTGTGAACTTTCTTGCCACAGTTGTTAAGTGAATCACTGCAGTAAATCAAATTGGTAACACAGTTATTAAGTGAATCTGGCTTCCCCATTGATGTTGCTTGCCAGAAGGCTGCAAAAGGTGATCACATGATCCCAGGACACTGCAATAATCATAATTATGAGCCAGTTTGCTTCTGAATTTTGATCACATGATCACCAGGATGCTCATAATGGTCATAAGTGTGAAAAACAGTCATAAGTCACTTTTTTTCGATGCCATTGTAACTTCAAACAGTCACTAAAAGAATGATTCTAAGTTGAGGCCTACCTGTATTGGTTCCATTGTGTCCCTTACAGGTATATTATCTTCTGTAGAACTGCTGAGGGTGGGGTGGGGCATATGATCCTGTATAACTAATATTCACATTTCTGAAATTTTACAGATCTTATTTGGAGAAAAAGAGTTTTTGCCCAGAACATATTTTAATACTTTGGTTGCTACCACAGTCTGCAGTCAGGAGACACTGGTGTCTATTTGTAGCAACCTATTATTTGTATTGCATGGTTTTAATGAGAAGAACTTGAATATGGTGAGTACTGTTGGTTCAGCATAAGATTTTTCATTTTACAGATTTTTCCCAGTAATGCTACTAGCTGGACAATATTCCCAGCAGGCATAACCATTGGAAGTTACTGTCAAACATGCTTTTTCAAAAGGCAACTGGACTGTTTTTTGAGGAAGACATCCAAGAAGCTTTCTGGGTTCTGGCAGGATGCTGGGGATGATGGAAGGACTAGTTCTGACAAGATGGGGGGTTGGGGGCGAGGGGGAGCTGGAAGGATCATAGTTCTTTGCAATCATCTGGTTGTTAGCACTCTACCTGAGAGGCCTTGAGGCAATTTGGAGGTTTATTTGTGCCTCAAGAGTGGCTTCAAGAGCTCTCACAGAGAATGCTAACAAGCAGATGACTGCAAAGAAATATGATCCTTCCATCGCTCCCCCTACCCCATCCTGTCAGAGATAGTCCTTCCATCACCCGCACCATCCTGCCAGAACCGAGGATGTTTCTTGGATGAAAAGGGAAACGGCTTCCTCAAAGGGGAAAAAACAAAACAAAACAGTCCAGTTGCCTTTTGAAAAGCACCTTTGAGACAACTATGACCTGGATGACTGAGAACCTCCACAGATATTGGAAGTTGCCATTTCACTATGTCAGGAGGACAAAACCAATTAGGGCAGCATTTTTCAAACTTGGCAACTTCAAGACCTGTAGACTTCAATTTCCAGAATTCAAGCTGGCCAGGAAAGCTCTTTGGCTGAAGAGGTTGTAAAAAAAAATGCTTTTAAAGGGCTCTGACGATCCCAGCTGAGTTGCCTGATCGTCAGAGGCTTTTTTTCTTTTAAAAGCATTTTTTCTAAAAGCATTTTCTTTTAAAAGAAAAAAAAGCCTCTGACGATCAGGCACCTCAGCTGGGATCGTCAGAGCCTTTTAAAAGCATTTTTTCTACAACCTCTTTGGCCAAAGAGGTTGTAGAAAAAATGCTTTTAAAAGTAAAAAAAAAAAGTCTCTGATGATTGCGCGGCTCAGCTGGGCATGGGCGGGGGGAGAGGGATTTTTGCTTCCGGTTCTCCGAACCACCCGCCGCCATCGCTACTGGATCAGGTGATCCGGTCCAAACCGGGAGCATTTCACCCCTGATTAGATTGGTTTACTCAAGCACACCTTATGGAATAGACACAATTTGGATTTGTATAATACAAACAACAGATGACTGTTTGACTCTCCCTTTCTGGAGGAGAGACATTTTTAAGTAACTGCCAAATATTTCAACAGTAAACAGCTCAACCAAAGAATCTCTAAGATCACCCCCACCAACACTGACAGGCAAGCCATTAGAATATAAACGGACAACAAATTGCACTCCTTACTAGCACTGATGATGTTACTAGTTTGGGTAATGAAACGTCTCTGCAAGAAAATGAGCAAGCTCAGAGATTTGCACATTTTTAAGACTCTTGGTCTTCTCTGCCATAAGCCGTGGTTTGCAATCATTAATGGTTAGATTTATGCAGTGTCATACAACCAAAGAAAGAAATCACAATGATTCCTTAACATAAAAAAAACTCAGTTGAAATTAACTTGGTTGCACAATAATCTACCTGATGACTTTTTTTTCCTCCAGAGCCGAGTCGATGTGTATACATCATATGTCCCAGCTAGTACATCTGTGCAAAATATGATCCATTGGAAACAGGTAGATACCCTGAAATAAATTGCTACCCTGGGAGGGCATAATATATTATGCTTTAAGAAATTATAGGATGGGCTTTTCTTGAGAGTTATAAATTGTTATTCTTTTGTTGATAATACCCAAGTGATATTTCAATCCTGAACTGTCCATGTTATGCTATCTCGGTCCTGTCACCGTGTCTGAAAGCTATACAGGTCTGAATGGGGAGAAAAAAAAGTCAGGCTAAATCATGAGAGTACTGAGTGGCTGTGAATATTTTCCCCTCCAGTTCTGGGGTTTTCCCATCTTTGGTTTTGAATGGGAGAGCATTTCCCTATTCATGATGGATCCATAATTTGAGGGTTGCTTTGATCTCCATCCCTTGCTCAAAGAAGATCTTTGCACAGATTTATCTAATTTGCCAGTCATGCCTGTTGCTGACTTAGAAGCCCCTTAGCAATTGCTCAGATCCTAGTCATCTCACCAAGGGATTACTGCAATGTACTCCAAATGGGGCTGCCCTTGAAAACCACAATCAGAATAGAGTTGGAAGGGACCTTGGAGGCAGTGGTGGGCTGCCGCCGCTTCGGACCGGTTCGCTAGAATTCCAACAATCAGCTGGCCCTGCCCACCCACCCCTGCCCTATTCTGTCCTATATTTCCTTCTTTCTGGCTCAGCTGATTCGCGCGGCACAGCTGATTTCCACGCCTCCACTGTTCTACTTACTGAGGCTGCCTTAGAAGGTAAGCAGCTGAGCTTCAAATTGCTGTATTTTGAATGCTGTGGGCACGCACGTTAGGCACATGCACGCCAGTGGTGGGTTTCAAAATTTTTTACTACCGCTTGGTGGGTGTGGCATGGCTTGGGGGGCGTGGCAGGTGAAGGATACTGTAAAATCTCCATTCCCACCCCAATCCAGGGGAAAGTTACTGTAAAATCCCCATTTCCTCCTGATCAGCTGGGACTTGGGAGGCAGAGAGTAGATGGGGGCAGGGCCAGTCAGAATTTTTACTACCGGTTCTCTGAATTACTCAAAGTTTCTGCTACTGGTTCTCCAGAACTGGTCAGAACCTGCTGTAACCCACCTCTGATGCATGCACAAAGTGCACACCCACAGAACCGGTTGTTAAACCGATTACAGCTCACCACTGCTTGGAGCCCTTCTAGTCCAGCTCCCTACTCAAGAAAGAGAACCTATACTATTTCAGATAAGTGGCTGTTTAATCTCTTCTTAAAAATCTCCAGTGATGGAGTGCCTATGATTTCTGAAGGCAAGTTATTCCACTGGTTAATTGTCCTCACTGTTAGGAAATTTCTCCTTAATTCCAGGTTGCTTCTCTCCTTGTGTTCTGTCCCCGTCCCACACACCCACACCCACAGACGGCCCGGAGTTAATAAGCCACATGACAAAATCTTTGAAGATAAAGCTGGCAGCAACCCAGTGGCTAGCTGCCAATTCAGACTTTACTCACACAAAACAAAGATTAGACTGCAAGCATTCTGATAAAGCAGGCAAAGTTTCAACAATACAAGGATTAGTCCAAATGCACTCCGACAAGGCAGGCAGAAGTCCAGTAATGCAGAGATCATGGATTATTTCTAGTTTTTGCTCGTCACAAACTGAACTGGCCACCACACCCACATTTATACCCTGTGGGGTGTGGTCCAGTGACTCAGCTAATCTCTGGCACGCCTTCCCCTCTGCTGCGCACGCTTCTCCCTGTGCAGCTGTCGAGGATCCAGCCAACACTTATCTACTTCGTCGCTGTCCACCTGTGGCTGCGGGGATGTGCTTGGCTCTGGGCCTATCTCTTGGCCTTCGGTGTCCTCCGGAGGCATTGCCAGAGAGGAGGGTCCTGGAGAGGGAGGCCTTGCCAAATCCTCTCCCTCACTCTCAGAGTCTGCATCTGTCGATAGCCCAGGCTCAGGCAATGGAGCAACAACACCTTGATAAGTTTTCATCCATTGTTTCTTGTCTTGCCCTCTAGTGCTTTGGAAAATAACTTGACCTCCTCCTCTTTGTGGCAATCTCTCAAATACTGTAATATTGCTATCATGTCCCTCATACTCCTTCTTTTCTCTAGACTAGCGAAACCCGAATACCGCAACTGTTCTTCACATGTTTTAGTCTCCAGGCCTTTAATCATTTTAGTTGCTCTTCTTTGCACCTTTTCCAAAGTGTCAACATCTTTTTTGTAATGTGGCAAGCAAAACTGGATGCAGTATTCCAGGTGTGGTCTTACTAAAGCTTTATAAAGAGGCACTAATACTTCACATGATTTTGATTCTATGCCTCTATTTATACAACCAAGGATTGTATTAGCTGTTTTGGCTGCTGCTACCTGGAAGTTATGGTTGCTCATGAATATGGTAGAACCGACAGCATAGTGCAATATGCCTAGGTGACATCTTTGCTCTGTGAGTTGCACTGGTTACCAGTTAGTCTCCGGGGCCAATTCAAGGTGCTGATTACCATCTAATACTGGCACTGGGCCTTATATTTGAAGAACCATCTCTCTCCAATAATGCATTTGTCTCATATGACACATTAGTTTTAGGTCCCTTCTGTTAAACAATGTCATCTATTAGAACCTAGGGAATAAGCTTTCTCTATCACAGTATATGTTTAATAATCTCCCTGTTTCCCCAAGAGTCCTATATGGCTCTCTAATGACATTAGAAAAGTCATTGAAAACTTGGTTATTTTCCCAAGTTTTGGGACAACTGTTGGTTGAGTTTGTTTAATTTAGAGACTTGGATACTGGATGCATATAATCAATTCCTTCATTTATTGTATGCTTTTCTTTTTTTTAAAAAAAATGCAAATGTCCCAGAGTTATTTAAAGTTAGGCAGCTTCTAAATTGTATAAATATATAAATAAATCAGTCAGTTCCTGGTCAAAATTTTGAACTTGCTCGATCTCATTAGAAAAGACCTCTTCTGGTGCAGCCATAACCAAGGGACGTTCTACCACATGTGGTGGACATGCCCTAAGATTAAGAAATTTTGGTGGAAGATAAAAAAATGGCTGGAAGAGATAACTGGGTGGAAGATAGAAAGAAAACCGGAACTATTCCTGCTGGGTATTTTGGAAGGGAAAATGGAAAAGAATTTACAATATATCATATTACACATACTAACTGTGAGTAGGATTGTCATAGCACAAAATTGGAAACAACTGGATATCGCCCCCCCAGACCAAATTATAATTAAAAAAATATACAAATGCGCAGAAATGGACAGATTATCCATGGAAATTAAGGAAAGGGAAGACACCGAGTATTATTTAATTTGGAATAGATGGTATTCCTGGCTGGAGAGTAAAGTTAAAATGTAAGCAATATTATGTCAAGAAACTGAATTGTGAATAGAAGTTAGTATAACTTAGATAAGGATGTAAATTAAGATAGTGATAGATAGAAGTAGAATTTGTGTATGGAAGTTAATTAGGATAGAGTTACCGATGTAGAAAAGCTGTAATTAGTGTTTAAGCTTCGATGTGTTTGTTTTTGTCTTTGTTTTTGATGTGTGTTATAGTTTTCTATTTTTTCCTCTTTTCTATTTTTTGTATTGCTCAAGTGTAAAATAGGTTAATGATTCTAACTTACTGGTTTGGGGGGGGGGGTTGGCTAGTGGCAAAACAAAGCCCAGGGAATTGTTTGAAAGGCTAATAAGAATATTAACAGATGATGGTCATCATCAGCCATTGCAGGGAGTGGTCAAAAGAGGCAGGATGGCAGTGTGAAGATACAAGTTCTGCCCCCTTATGTATAAATGTGTTGTTAGGGTTCCCGTTGTGTGACACACTGAACCAAGTTAAACAACGGATTAAAGATATACATGGGCAAATGGACATGGCAACCCTTTCAACTAATCATTCCCTTAAACTGCTGACAGCAGTTAAAACAACTTTCACTCTGGAAAAGTATTTACATTTAGAAATGCCATCAGTGGAGAGACAGTTATTTGTTAAGTTTAGATTCGAACTTCTAGATACCAACGTTAGATTCGGCCGCTATCGGAAAATCCCGTATGACAAAAGAATATGCATATGTGGGGTAAACGTCGTGGAGGACACGGCGCATATAATATTCGAATGTAGTCTCTATCAAGAAGTAAGAAAACAATATCTGTCCCCAATTATAAATAAATTTCCCCACTGGAATATAAGCCAAAAATTGGCATTTCTGTTGAGGGCTGACTCTCCTCCCCTGGTAAGAGCGATCACTCAATACCTTAAAAGAATGACGGCAATACAAGCCAGTTATATCAAAAAATTTTTTAGCGATTGTAAGGAAGATGAGCTCAGTTAGAGAGGAGCTAGCCTATTTGGGTTATCTAGTCTTGGCAACTTAGCTATTGAAATTTGATATTGTAAAATTTTAATGTCATCTATCATATATTTTTAGATTGCTATTTTTGTAACTGTTTTATCTTTTTCCCTTTTTCTTTTCTGTTTTGTTTGAAAAGGCCTTCAGGCTATTCAATAAACTATACAAATGTGTTGTTGTTGTTATTCCTATTTGTGAGAGAAAAATTATTTCTCAATTGCTGTGCCTATTAATGGCTTTTGGAATGGATAAGTGGGTTCAGAGGCTCATTTGTTAAAGTAGATCTTAATAGAGATAAAGGTTTACGGTTCATTGATTTATTTCCTCCACGACACTATTTCTTTATTTTATGTTTATATTACACTATCTGTCGATGCACATACAAAACGGGATGTCTGTCATTTTGCCTGTTTCAACTCCCCATCACCCCAAAGACACTGCTGCCGATTGAGAGTATAGGTAGTCCTCATTTAGCAACTGCCTTGTTTAACAACCACTCAGTTATGATGGGTATGAAAAAGTAACTTTATAACCAATCCTCTTAGCACTTGTAAAGCACAGGAAAGCTGAAGTAAGATCATAAATATGGTTTCATTTAGCAACTGCTTCCCTTAACAACCAAGTTGGCAGTCCCAATTGTGATCCCTTAATGAGGACTACCTTTAAACATAGAATCTGGGTTCATCTTGTGAAGTTCTAGTTCTTCCTTTCTATTAAAAATAAATAAATTTGGAATCATTTGAGATTTCTTTATATTTGCAGGCTATCAACAGTGGTAAACTTCAAGCTTATGACCATGGAAGGCTTGGAAATAAATTTCATTATGGACAGGTGAAGTATTTTCCAGCAGATGGTTATCTCAATAGTAATGATATGTATTATACGTATCTCTTGTATTGGGCATTTGGTCATTTCTGCAACTGTCTAGCCCACATGTGATTTTATGCCCTCTACTCTGTTTGGAAGACGAGCCAATTTATTATTACATAACCAGAATTGCATCAAAGTGGTTTCATCCCCAGTGCTGAAGCTCAGTAGATCCATTGGGCTGTTTGAGAATAGCCTAATCCTGGCTTTTGGCTACTGGGCAAACAACCAGCTTCATCCATCTTTGCAATTCCCCCCTCCCTCCCTTTTTGAATCTCCATGAAAATGCACATAAAGTGAACAAATAGGTGGCGAGAAAGAGTAGAACAGGGCTGTCAAATGGCCGGCCTGTAGGCTGGATGCGTCATATGCTGGCCATGCCCACTCCTGGTTTAGCAAAGGAGAAAAAAGTCCTGATACATCACATGATGCCACCGTGACGACGTGAGTTCGACACCCCACTTTTTTGCATGATGAAATTGGCTTTTCTCCATTGGCCCAACCCTACTAACTCATGCCTTTGATTGCACATGTTCTGTTGTGAGGCTGCCTTTGAAAACAACTTGGAAGCTGCAGCTGGTACAAAATGGGTCAGCAAGCTTGCCAATTTAGGACTGCATCTCTACTAGAATTGCCAGTATGCTTCTGGGCCTGTTTCAAAGTGGGTGGTGAAAGTCCTTATATGGCACCAGGGTACCTCAAGCAAACCTTTGTCAGAACTGAATTTGCTTGGTTCAGTCAGCATGAAGGAGCTAGTTGCAAATTCCCTCCCTCTGTGAGTTTCAAGGGGTGTGGGCCAGGCAACAGGACTTCTTCTATTGACTGCTCCTTTTGAATATTTTCCTGTGTGAAGCCCCTTACTGCAATTCCATAAACAGGTTAGAGCAGTTTTATTCCAACATGCTTTCAGTCCTGGATGATTGACAGCATATCCTTGTCATGAGTTTTCTCTGGACTTTTATTTTTTACCTGTTCTTAAGTACTGTTCTTGTAGGGATGTGGTGGCTCAGTGGCTAAAACACTGAGCTTGTCAATCGAAAGGTTGGCAGTTCAGCGGTTCAAATCCCTAGTGATGCATAATGGGGTGAGCTCCCATTACTTGTCCCATCTTCTGCCAACCTAGCAATTCAAAAGCACATAAAAAATGCAAGTAGAAAAATAGGGGCCACTTTTGGTGGGAAGGTTGTTGCTGTTGCGTTCCATGCGCTTTTGGCGTTTAGTCATGCCGGCCACATGACCACCAAGATGTCTTCAGACAATGTTGGCTCTTTGGCTTTGAAACGAACGACCAGCACATATGTGCGAGGGGAACCTTTACCTTTTTAAGTACTGTTCTTACTGTACTGTTCTTAAGTATCATTACTTTGTTTGAGCTTATCTCTTGGCATTGGGACATGCTATAAGTATGTACTACAAAATAAAGAAACAAATGGATGGATAGATAGACAGATAGATAGTTAGGGAATGGGCTTAATTAAGAAATATGAATAGTTATAATAGAAGGTTTAAGACGGAAAGTAGAACATACAAAATTCTGCCTTGAAATTTGCCTTATGCATGTATGCATCAGAAATTCAAATAATAGGCCTTGAGATACAGACTTTCCCAAATGTTTTTAAGTATTGTGTGAACACACATGCACAAACAAGCAACCATGCACATGTGCATATGTGCAAACTCAATATTTATATAATTAAAAATTGGGACAATGGTGCCTTTCACCATTTTGAACCCATCTGGAGCTTTTCAGAGGATACCTCCCTTATATATTATGATTACCTTTAATGTAAAACATAACCGACAGAAGAAAAAGGGTGAAGTGTGAAGGTAGGTCAACCAGGAGTGGTAAACATCTTTTGAGACTCAGTAGAAGGGGTGGATGCATTGCATCCTCAATTACAATGAGAAGATACTCTTTGGAAGGAATGTTAATACATACTTAGCATTCTACCGAACTCAAGTTAATGAATACTCAAGAATTCAGCCCCATTTTCTTTCCTTTCCATTCTTGCAAAATGGCACACAATTTAGCTAATAATCTCTCTGTCTGGATCTGAGAAGTAGGACTATGTCACATTTTCTTTTTCATTTTTTAAAAACAGGATTCGCCTCCTGAATACAATATATCAGCTATGACTGTACCAACAGCAATTTGGAATGGTGGAAATGACTGGCTTTCTGATCCTGATGATGTGAATCAATTAATCCCCAAAATTCAAAACCTTATTTCCCACAAATTTATTCCTCAGTGGAACCATCTGGATTTTATGTATGGTATTGATGCACCTGATAAATTGTATTATGAAATAATAGACTTACTTCAGAAGAATCCTTGAGAAATGTTTGCCAATAATGATATATAGTTCATTTGCTATTAGTTGTCTACTGTTTTTTTTCCATGATCCATTTTTAATAAACTTTCAGATTACATACAAAATGAAAGACCATCCAGTGAATTCATACTCTTATCTCTGTTAACTTGTTTTCCATACACGACAAGTCATTTAACTTGGATGCATAGATTATTATATTTACGCATTACTCAGTTTATTTCATCTTTACAATTTTTCTTAAACTACTTTTCTTTCAAACTGAGTGGATGAACACATGGAAACCATATCTCTAATGGAGAACATGCAGTATAGCTAAATTTATAGCTGTGGTGACATAGTGGTTAGAATACTGTATTGCAGGCTAATTCTGCCGACTGCCAGCAGTTCGATCCTCACCGGCTCAAGGCTAAGTCAGCCTTCCATTCTTCTGAGGTCAGTAAAATGAGGACCCAGATTGTTGAGGGCAATATGCTGACTCCATAAACTGCTTAGAGAGGGCTCTAAAATACTGGGAAGCAGTATATAAATGGCAATATTTTAATGCAGTAGTGAACAGAGAATAAGAGTTATACTATATGTCTACGGAGATTAATCCAGGTCATGGTTGTCCCAAAGGTGTTTTTTCAAGAGGCAACTGGATTTTCTTGTTATTCTTTGAAGACATTTCACTTAAAACTGAAGAAACTTCTTGGATCAGAAGCACAATGCCTTCAAAGAAAAACAAGAAAGTCCAGTTGCCTCTTGAAAAAGCATCTTTGGGACAAGAGTTATATATGGCTTCCTGTTTATCATTACTTGACACAAATTATAGCCTAAATCATAGCATATTTTCTGATGATTAACAGAGAAGTCCCATTTTTACTATATTGCAGTATTTATTCGGATAACAGTTAATTATAGAAGTTAAAGAATTGTAATTTATGTACAGCTGTCCTATATCAGCATTTCCAAGCAAATTATTTGCATATGCTCTGCAATATATTTTATTGTATGTAAAGGATGCAAAGGAAATGGAATAAGTATTGGGAAGGGAGGTTATATGGATGTTTGCAAGAGGCAGCTAAGTAAATTTCTTTGAAACAATGACCCAACAGGTCATGGGTTGTATAGTAAAATAGATGTGTAGTACAATGCATGTGAAAAAAAACTCTATCAGAAGAAGTATGAATTAGAATACCAAGCTTGAAAATAAGTCTCCAAATTTATATTGAAAGATTCTTGTTAATTTAACAGCCAGAAAGTACTAACAATTTGGATACACATTTCCCTCCCAAAGCAAATATTCTGATTTTCCTCCGTTGTAAAACTGTAGAAGACACCATTTAAAATCATTCCATCGAATGAGGACTCACATGATCAACCACAAATGATCTTGTTTTAATTGCTCAACTGGTGTTAACACCAAAATAAACCATTTTCCCTATGTGTCCAAATGTATTCCTTTGATCCTTGGATAAAATCAAATCAAAGAGTGCTCCAAGAAACTTTCAAAGCAAATCACCTAAAAAAAGAAAAGGAAAGAAAAAGAAAGAAAGTTAATTCAATCATTACAAATTCACCTATTACATTAACCACAATACAATTAAAGCATTATTAGAAGAATCCAAAAGACTGTATCTGAATTGAATTGTATTGAATAAGAAGGAGACATTATTGATTGTTGTTCTCAGTAAATATGGAGTGGGTTTATACTGGTAAGGGGGCAAAGCAGAAAGTGCAGATCTGCCCACCCTATGCTACTGTAATAAAAAGAATCCATTTGATAGGGAAGTCCTCCTATTAGGTTGAGTCAGAAGACATCAGCCAATAAGGTGTAAATATGAGCACTCAGCAGGTTGCTACAGCTGGAAGGTGTGTACAGTTTATAAAAGGAGGTTTCCAGACTTGCTTGTGGGAAGAAGACATACCATTAAGGAAAGGACATTGGTAACTGGTCTGTATCTCATCAGGAATATTATTGTGTGCTGGGTTTGAAATGAGAAGAAGGAAAGAAAAGAAAGCAACATTAATGTAAGTTCTGTCATTGCTTCAATCAAAACATGTTTTTCAAAAAGCTTATTGATGAAGTGAAATTTTCATATGTTGGAAGGAAAATCCACCTGGTTCAGTTCCAGGCTGGGAGAAAGACGGTGTAAATAACATGAAGGCTGATTGGAAAGAGGGTCCACTCATTGATGAAGCAGAATCACCAGCAGCTGTGTGGTTCTGGGACAGCTGACCAAATGGCTGAATAGGTGGATGGATCTTTAGAGGTTTCTGTGACTTTGAAGTTTGAACTGTTCTGGGGGGTTGTGCAATGAAGGGGCTTGTGTCTTTTGCTAAATAGGTTAATCCTATTATTTCCTAAAGAGTCATGTCCTGTTCTTAGAAGTTGGCTGGAGCAGAATGTAAATTTTAATCCCATTCCTGGAGGTGAAGTTCTTTTGTTTTGTGAATAGGCTGGCCCAATCTTTCTTAAGAGGTGCACATGAGTCTGTCATCTGCACTTCTATAACTATCTGGTTTGGTTCTGCAACCCAACAAGACAGACACAGACTTCAGAGGATAATTAGAACTGCAGAAAAAACAATTACTACCAACCTCCCTTCCATTGAGGACCTGTATACTGCACGAGTCAAAAAGAGGGCTGTGAAAATATTTACAGACCCCTCACATCCTGGACATAAACTGTTTCAACTCCTACCCTCAAAACAACGCTATAGAGCACTGCACACCAGAACAACTAGACGCAAGAACAGCTTTTTCCCCCAATGCCATCACTCTGCTAAACAAATAATTCCCTCACCACTGTCAAACTAGTTATTAAGTCTGCATTACTATTAATCTTCCCATTGTTCCTATCACCCATCTCCTCCCACTTATGACTGTATGACTGTATGACTGTAACCTTGTCGCTGGTATCCTTAAGATTTATATTGACTGTTCCCTATGACTATCATTAAGTGTTGTACCTTATGATTCTTGACAAATGTATCTTTTCTTTTATGTACACTGAGAGCGTATGCACCAAGACAAATACCTTGTGTGCCTAATCACACTTGGCTAATAAAGCATTCTATTCTATTTTATTCAATCTTTTTTAATGAGCACAAAATATCTGCTGGGAGCTATTAAGAAAGACTGAGTCTGCCTTTTGTTTTTAAGAACATGTTTTTCCATTTTTCCTTTGGGGAAATATAATATTCTGCCTTTTAATATCCCCCAAAATATTTCATTCTTCGGGAGGGGGGGGGGGCTTCCCACACATATTCCATGTCTAATGGATTTAAGTTTGAATCTATGGCTCCTGGATTAATGTTTTTTGGGCGGGATTTTATTTAATTACTGATATTTATCTCATGGAATTCCTCCTCTTCCCTTCCCCTCCCAATCTTTCTTAGTTTAACTTTAATCCACATTCATAAAAAAGAATTATCTCTGGATCAAAATCTTTTGAATTTAGTAACATTAAATATGAATTTAAAAATTAAATGAGACACAGAAATGTGGTAGGTTTGCCACGAATTTCTAAGAAAAAAATGTTATTTTAAATCTCACTTGGGTAATTTTGCTCTGTTTTATTTCACATTTGAAGAAATAATGTATAAAGAAACAGATATTTCAATGGAACACAATATATAATTATGTCCAGCATTTTTTGTTCAAGAAAATTATTCTCTTTTGAAAATATAAAAATACACTTTAATAGTGTAGGATTGTGCTCTTTAGGCAAAAGGCAGATAGGATAAAATATCTGTGATCACTTTTGTGGATACTGTAATGTTTAAATAATTGCTACATTTTTGACCATATATATTTGACTGATGCTGAGGGAAAACTAGAACTACTCCTTCCTTCCTTCCTTCCTTCCTTCCTTCCTTCCTTCCTTCCTTCCTTCCTTCCTTCCTTCCTTCCTTCCTCTGGCAATCTCTAGTCTACATATTTAATTTTAGAGCTATTTTGAAAAACTAAAATCATAATACCATTTAAGAGTGTGTGTGGTCAGGATGTGTGGCCAGCTCGACATCACTCGGGTCAGGGGCTCCATTTTCGCTGGCAGAGGGCCGGTCCTTTACTGTTTCCAGGCCGGCCCCACGGGCCGGATCTAAGCACCCCGTGGGCTGGATCCGGCCTGTGGGTCTTGAGTTTGATACCTCTGCGCTAGAGCAAACTGGCTCTCGTTATATTTTGCAATTGTGTGACCTTCCATAAATTTACTTAATAGATATATTTACAGGGCTGTAAAGATTACAGGACTTAAAGAATTTAAAAGGAGCACTTTTCAGAGTTTTGCAGCTGTGAAGCACTGGTCTCAAAATATTATAGTAGCGATTGTCCTTTGGAATTCCTATATGGCTGCTTCAAAGACTGTCCTATGTTTGAAAGTACAACCTCACTCCATTTATTGCCCCAGCAGAAATATCTGCAGTTAACCAAATTTCTCATTTAGCATTTTTACATAATGCTTTTTATTAGGTATATCTAGTATGAATACATATTTCAGAAAAACATGTGTCTTTTTCCATTGGTAATTACTCCATTGTTTTATAGATGTTTCACCCTGTGGATGCTGATTGCTATGACAGCTATACAAGGAAATTTGAGTTCAGAAGAAGTGAATGGCAAAACGTTGATGAATTCTGAATCATTTATGAACATAGTAAGTTGAACTCTTAGAATCGTAATCAGTACTCATCCAAGCATGTTAGACAGGATGGGCCGCTTCTACTCCTTTCTTTTAAACACTATCACCTTATAGGATCTAAGAAGTATGTCCTTTCTATGGCAGGCAGCCTCTGCCCTATGCAATGCTCTTCTCCCTGAAATTTGGCAGCCTTCTACCCTCCTAACTTTCTGAAAACTTGGTGTTTTCTTCTAGTGAGGAGACTGCAAGTCCAGAACATAGCAAAGCTGGCTGGGAAATTCTGAGAGTTGAAGTCCATCAGGTTTAAAGTTGCCAAGGTTGGAGACCCCTGCTTTAAAGGATTCACATTGTAGAGAGAATCATCCCCCACAAAAAGAACAACCGGTCCTACAGAAACCAAGCAATTAGCGCAGAAGCCTTAAAATAAAAAGCCTCTCGCAAAGAAAACAAAACAAAACAACTCCATCACCCAGCTAAGCGAAATAGCCTCAGGCGAGCCGATAAGAGCCTTCCACAACTTGATACATTAAACTGTGAAACCGCAAGAATGCAGCAAGGAGCATCTTCCATGCTTTAGGCTGAGGCAATCAGAACTGATAGGATTAAGCTAGCACATGGGTAGGCAAACTTAAACACTCAAAGGGCCACTTGGACCTGTTTCCCATAAAAAAAAAAAAAAAAACACACCAGAGCCACAAAACCTGTGTGGGCATGGCCAACTCGATGTCACTCACTCACCCAGTCACATGACCCCCCTAGCCATGCCTACCCAGCCACAAAACCATTCTGTCTTTCTCCCCCTCTTCCTATCTCCCACTCTCTCCCCCCATGTCTCTCTCCCTCTGTCTCTCTCCCGCTCTTTCCCTTTCTCACCCCTCTCTATGTATCACTCTGTATGTGTCTCTATGTCTCTCTCTCTCCCCCCATCTCTCTCTCTCTGTGTCTTTCCCCCTCCCTTCGGGTGACCGTCCTCCTTGGTCAGGAGGTGAGCAGCTGCTTGATTAGGAGTTCCTCCTGTGGCGTTGTTCTAATCCACTTCGCTAAATTTCTGTCTCTTCTTTCTCCACCTCCGTACCTGGGCAAGAGCCCAGTGTTTGGCTGAGCGGGAGGGGTCTCGTTACCTCACCGTGCCGCTTCTCACAGGAGCTCTTCAGAGTGCATGCTCTCAGCTGTGGCTGAGCCGGGAGCATGCGCACACGTGGAGAGACCCTCCTTAAGCAAGCTGCTGCCCACCCTGCACGCACCTTTCCTGAGCTTCGGCGCTCGCTTGAGGAGGGCCTCCCTGCGCGTGTGCCCGCTCTCGGCTCAGCTGCAGCCGGCCAGGGCATCACGAATGTGGAAGAGCCACACTCAAGGGGCCAAAGAGCCGCATGTGGCTCACGAGCCATGGTTTGCCGACCACTGAGCTAGCATAACACAAAAGCCCACTAAGGTTGCATCCCCTTCCCTTCCCCAAAACTGAGCTTGATCCCTTCATTCCCCAAGGAGACTGGACAGGGAAAATTGATTGACATACCAAAAGACATACCGTTAAACTAATTAAATACCCCATCAGGCATCTCAATCAGGAAATCTCAAAAGGGTATAAAAATCATAATCCTGCTTTTTCATGCCGCCATGCCACTGCCCTTGAGCACGATACCTGTAAAGGATATAGTGCCCAGATTCAGGGTACCAAGTATTTGGGACATGGACCAAGGGACACACTTTGTGTTGCAAGTCTTTACTCACGCCCTCCAGGCCCTAGGAATCACCCAAAACCTTTATTCACCCTGGCACTCTTGCTCATTAGTGTGTGTGTGTGTGTGTGTGTGTGTGTGTGTAACAGCAGAGTAGAGGACTGAAGACCCTATCATGCAAACTCTGTCAGGAGACCC